ACATGATGTCGCCCAGCCAGCCCTTGATCTTGCCAGTGACCTCGCCGGCCGCGCCCTCAGCGCCCATGGGGATGTTGATGTCTTGTCCACGGTGGTGGATCTGGGAAACGGGGCAGATGAAGTACTACTTTTATTAGCAGGGTTCTCGCATGGAATCAATTGTTCAACTTACAGCAGTACCAGCAGCGAAAGACTCAATCAGACGACCCTCGGCATCGGCCTCAATGACCTCAGCGATGGTGTACTTTCGCTCGGTAATCTCATACTCATCTCCCAGACGCTGGCGAGCAAGCTCAAGACAGCTTCGGCGGGTGACACCATCAAGGATAAGCTTGTCATCAAGAGGAGCAGTGATGATCTCCTTCTTGCCATCCTTTCGCTTCCAGACAACAAAGAAGTTACTGGCTCCAGCCTCAGTACACTCGCCCTGAGCACCGTACAGCCAGAGAATCTGGTGGAATCCGCGGGTTCGTGCATCAGCCGTAGCAAGCAGAGAAGGGCCGTAATTGGCGCCGACCTTGGCGTACCCAAAACCACCGACCCAGGCGCGCACCATGTCGTCGGGGGATGTGTGAAGACGCATTCCGCCAGGGGGTGCGTCCATGCGGGGCATGTATGTCACGATGATGTAGAGGAGGGCTTCCTTGGGGGCAGAGACACCGAGCTGAGGAGCAGTGCCGATGATGGTTGGGCGGATGTACAAGAAGCTGCCAGCGCGATCGGCGGGAAGCCATTTTGTGCCGTCGACGGACAGAAGAGCGATGATGAGCTTCTCTACCTCAGCGGGCTCAAAGACAGGAAGCGAGATACGGCTCGCCGACATGCGAAGACGCGCAGCGTTGCGATCAGGGCGGAAAACACGGAGCTTGCCATCATAGCCACGGAAGACCTTGAGACCCTCGAAGCACTCGGTAGCGTAGTGCAGCACAGAGGCAGTGGGCATGAGGCTCAGGGGTCCGTAGGGCTTGAGCTCCGGGGCAGACCAGCCGGTAGAGACCTTCCATGAAGCGAGGACCATGTGGTCCGTGGCGATGGTCTCGTCGCCGGAGTGAGCGGTTGCTTCATCGGGGACGGAGCGGGGGGATTGTGTGTATGTGTATGTGAGCTTTGAAGCGTCGAGGGGAGCCTGGACCTGGGGGGCGCCGTTGACGGTGGGCTGGGCGAGATCTTTCTTGTGGATTGCTGCGGCTGTGAGGTTGACGTCCTGGGTTTCGACGGCGGAGGGAGCCATGATTGCGAATGTATCAAGGTGAAGATTGATTTGGAGTGAATGTTGTTTTCTGAGCGAAGGTCTTCTTTTGAGTCAATGTCTAGAGGAAGAGAGCGAGATCGGAGTCGTGAAGTATACAAAGGAAAGCAAACGAAGACAAAAGAGCAGAGATAAAACTTTATATACGCAAGCACGGAAACGCCAAACTACCTATCTACCCCGTCCGTGTATGACTGTCCCCCCCCTCCGCTATCCGGTCTCCACCTTCGTGTCTTTCGGGACAGTCACGAGCTGGGGCAGAAAAACTTCCTGCCGCTCGCGGGCCCGGATAGACCGCCTCTGCCCGCGCGGTGGCTCGGCTCCGGCGATGGTGTTTTTTTTTTCTGCTGGCTTTTTTTCTGCCATGCTTGCGATATCGATAGATACTAGCGCTAAGCTGGATTTAGTAGGTGGTGAGGTGTGCTCCACACAGCCTTTGACGTGGTGGTGGAGGGGGAGCCGTCAGTTTGGAAGAGGGTTCCACTGATGATGGGCTTCTGGAAGATAACGAAGGTTGTAGTTGGCGGGTATTGCACTGATAGGTTACGCCATTGATGAAGCATTGGGAAATTGGCATTGAATTGGCATTCTTAATACAGTGGTGAAGCTGCAATTTCTGTTGGGAATAGGTACAGAGCACATGACCCTGGAACTTGACGTGCTTATCGAGATCGCTTACACGAACTGCATATTTCCACCAAGAAATACCCGGTCCCATCGGCTCTTGTCAGTGCGGAACGAAACTGCTGTCAAGCCAAATCGAGGACTCCACTGCCAGGGCGCGGCTTAAACAAATTGGCTATCAACAAAGATAACAACAACCACCCATCCAATTGAACCAGTGTCACATATCCTCATCATATCAGAGGTTTATGCAGTAGATAGTCATGTGCCATGAAATCCCTGCTTGTCAATTCTGACAGACCAAAGACAAAAAAACCTTGATGGGAGTTTTCTTGGCAGGGCGGAATTGTGCATGGCACCGTGGCTAGCCGTCAATTGCCATTATTACCGCCCCTCGGTGCTGTGAGGTCATGTTATGCTCCCCCCCCCCCAATTGCAAGGGATAATGATGAAGTTCGTTGAGGTCACATTGTGTGTTTCTTATCGATGATCGGTCCTATGTTTCGTGGCGTGGAGACTTTTTGTGTCATTGTATCGAGATGTTAGTGTGAAAAGGTACGATTACAAGGGTATCATCACAGTAGACTTGCAGAAACTCATCATTTCTAGGTAGGTATCATGATTACTCTATACTATACTTTTTTATCCCACCAGTCTCTTAGGATTCCCTGTTGAAAGGACCTTGCTCTACCGCACATTACCGGACCTGTTTTTCTTTTTCTTCCACACCATCAAACCACGCCCTACGCCCTTTCAGCCTCCTTCTTTCGCTGCTCCTCCTCCAGAATCTCCCTCTCGCGCGCCGCCGCCTCAACACTCGCCTTCTCGCCCTTTGCCCGCTGGCGCGCCTCGTACATGTCCCTCGACTTCATGATGCGCTGCACGATCTCGCCCGCGTTGACGTGCGCAAACGTGTGCGCGCCGATCTCGCGGTAGATCCCCATCGCCTTGGGTGCCGTGTACGGATCGTATGTCAGGGGCATGAAGGAGGTTGGGCCGTGGTACACGGCGTCTGGGGTGCCGCGCGGTAGGGTGTCGAGGTAGGTCTTTGTGGGAGAGAAGGGGGCGCCGAAGATGACGGCGTTGATGTACTGCGGTTTAAAGAGGTTAGTGGTTTTCAGGGCTGGGGTAGTATTGGGGGTGAGGGTTGTTTTGTTACCTTGCACTGTAGAACGCAGAGACCGCGCTCGAAGGTGTTCATGATGGGGTAGTTGATTCCCTTCCATTGATTGATGACCTCGTCCTCGTGCACGCCTACTACGACATACGCGGGGGGATAATCCTCACCCTTGCCGAGACGCTCGTTTACGGACTGCTCGGAGAACCAGCCATCCTCACGGGCGAGCTTTTCTTCCTCGAGGAGGACTTGGCGCAGGAATTCGATGTGTCCGCTGGAAAAGAGATCATAACCTCCATCGACGTACACAACGCGCTGGCCGGGCTTAGGTCCGGGTCCCTCAATAAGCTGTCGGAAACTGCCCCTTTCCTCCTCGCCCTCCTCCGCCTTAGCGACCTGCGACGCCTTCCAGAAGAACACCTCGGCGCCGGGTGCTTTCCCCGAAGCATCTGTCGCATACAGCTTCATGCGCTCCAGCATCTGCTGGCCCTCGGCAATGCGCTCCTCCAGTGTGCCGTGGCCCTCTTCACCGGCGAGTTTCTTCTCGAGCGATTTGATGAAGTGCGTCTTTGTGCAGAGAAGCATGCGCCCGACGAGGTCGGTGGTGGAGATTCCAGGTGAGCGCTTAACCACCTTGAATCGACCAGCCTCCTTGACGAACCGGTAGCAGTCGTTACCGTCGCTGTCCGAGGTGATGTCGTCGCCGTGCACGACGTATTTGCAGCCGTAGTGGGAGATGTAGGGGAGAGAAGTCACGTAGGGCGCGTGGCCGACTGAACGGGTGACCCAGCGGCAAGCGTCAGTAGCAGCGAGTCTGCAAATGTCAGTAAATGTGTCGCGTGACCGGTGGGAATGAGTCGGTGTTACCGTTCTGCGAGGTTCATGACTGTAGGGCCCTTGTTGGCGAGGATGGCCTCGTCTGAGTGAACGCCAGCGTAGAGCTCATCGCCTAATTGGCGGGCCTGCACAATAGCGCCAGCATGGCCTGGATCCGTTAGTAATTGATCGCGATGAGAGAAAGACAGTAAATACCGTGGTGGAAGAAGTCAAAGCAGCCGTCGACCCAGATGCGCCCCTCGAGGAGCTCAGGAGCAGGCTCACCCTCAAGATGAAGCTCATCGTCAATCGAGGGGTTAGTGGGGTCAGTCGAAGTCATGGTGGCGAGAAAAGATGCGACAAAGATACAGCAATAGCGATGTGAGTGAGTGAGGTTGACAAGTCCAAGTTTAAGAAAATGAGAGACCAAAGAGAAGAAGCGGTGATGATGAATGCTTTTTTTAAGATTAAGGAGCTCTCAGTGAGGTGACGGTTCTACGTAACTTGAGCTGCTGGAAGTTAATGGGTGAGCCGTTGGTTGGGCCTAACAATTTTATGAGTGACTTGATTGGTCCGTTTATAGGCTGCCAATTTAACGACGGTCAATAGAGCTTAGGTAACCGTCTATAAATACGAATAAATTAAATGTGCTTGCTTTGACCCATGTTATTACCGTGAAATGCATACGCAAGCAAGAGTAATAATGGAATGAGTGAAGGATTGAATACGAGAGGGTTGTTTGTCCTTTTAAGGGTCTTGAAGCACCCCTGTCACATGCAAACAGCAGCCACGCTAGCAAGACCACGTTTTTGACAAAAACACCATCTTCTCATCACTGACTCTCCAAGTTCATGTCAATTTACTCCATTTATTTCATCTAGTCTTTCATACTATCTCATTCTGTGACCGAGAGCCCGGATCTCATTTCATCTTGTCATGTCAAAAGACCCCACTCTGCTCGGCACGTTCCCGATCCATTGGCTCCGATCTTTGCCTTAATCGTGGACCTGCTCGGGCCAAGATTCCCCGGACGGGAATAGATGCATCTTTAACAGCTTCTGAGCTTGGGGTAATCGCGCGATGATACCCTGGCGTGAACATGTCGAATCGGTCAAGTGTCCGATGCCATGAGGTATAAAGATGCTCGTTTGCCCGGGGCCAATTCATCCATGAGTTAGGCTTTGGCAGAGCATCATGAAGTTCACTACCGTCTCTGCACTTATGGCCCTTGCGCCGTCTGCTCTTGCGGATTGGCATTTTGCCAAGAACAAGGAGATCAAGTATACTTCTGTTGAAGGATTCTTCTTGCAAGATGATCTGGCCACGAACCCCACTGGATTCGACTATGTAAGGCCTCATCTCGTCTCATCGGATCAATAGATGCTGATTAGTCTAGGCTCAATGGAACTTTGGTCTCTTGAACCGCACTTATCCCACTGATCCCAAGAACCCCCGAAAGGGTTACAAGACACAGTGGGAGCGCTTCGAGCAGTATGTCAAGCACCTGAACCGCAATGCCAGTCGCGATAAGACACGCTACAAGGTTCTTGTCATGGGACGTCATGGTGAGGGCTGGCACAACGCCGCTGAGTCCTTTTACGGCACTCCCGCCTGGAACGTAAGTCGCCTCAATCAAGACTCTCAATTCATGAACTGACATTTGCAGTGCTACTGGGGTCTTCAGTCCGGCAACGGAACAGCGACGTGGGAGGATCCTCTCCTCACAACCGCAGGTGAGGCTGAAGCTCACAAGGCAAACGCCTACTTCAAGGCTCGCTTTGAGAACGAAGGCATGCCATACTTCGACTCATACTACACCTCCCCTCTCGCCCGCTGTGTCGAGACCGCCGTGGAGACTTTCCAGAGCCTCAAGCTCCCCAAGGACAAGCCTTTCGTCCCAATGGTGAAGGAACTTCTCCGTGAGGGTATTAGTATCCGAACATGCGATCACCGTCGCAGCAAGAGCTTCATCAAGACTCTCGCTAAGAAGATCAAGTTCGAGAAGGGGTTCTCTGATAAGGATAAGCTTTGGACTGGAAAGGAGGGTGAGACTGGCGAACACCAATTGGCGCGAAGCAAGGAAGTTCTCGATGATATCTTCACAAGTGACAATGCTGTTTGGATCAGCATTAGCAGCCACTCTGGTGAGATCACCAAGCTTCTCCAGGCTCTCAACCATCGACCTTTCCGTCTGGCGACCGGCCAGATCATTCCCGTTCTTGTTAGAGCTGATGTTGTGTCTGAGGAGCCCACGTCTACGTACGCTTCTTGGACTACCGAAGCGACTTGCAACGCTCCTCCTGTGACTAGCATCGGAGGACAGGGCTGTGTATGCTCTACTACACTTGCATCTGCACCAGCAAAAGCGACATGAGTCGGAGAAAAGAAATAGTTGATCATGTAGTGATCGCTAACTAGTACATAGAAAAAGAAGCAGTCCGCTTGACTAGGACAAAGGAGAAATTACAGTACATGCGTCCAACCCGCGGCGTCGTTACAATCTTGCCGCTTCCGTTATCTTTCGAATCATGAAACTAAAGTACCTGCGCACCTGGCTCCATCCGATCCTAGCAAGTTGAGAATAGCACCACCTGGTATAGCTGTAGGATTTGCCGCGGATCCAAGTGTGAATTTCCACGTTTGACCCAATACTGTCTCCTGAGCGAAGAGTGTTCCGTCCGGTGCTGCCATCACGGCACCCCAGACGAGGTTGAGAGTTGTGAGGATGAGGTTGGGGTAGGTTTGGAAGCGCTCCCACTTTTGCGTGGTTAACGACCATCGAACGATGTTTGTTCTGAGGAGGCCACTCTCGATGACTGATGCTTGTACGGCGTAGAGATAGTTGCCTCCGCCGGGGACATATGCCCAATCTCCCACCCCAGAAAGTAGGTTGGTGGCCGACGTGCCGGAATCGAGAAGCTTGCCGAAAGTGGTGCTGGTCGGTCTCAAATCAATGCACCACCATCTACCTCCACCTTCGGATACCCAAAACCTTCCTTGATCGTCTACATCGCCCATGCTGATAGCATTTGTACCAATCACAAGATCGAGGACCTCCCATCGGCCGTCCTTGGCGATGCGAATAAGTCCCGATCGTTTACAGCCCAAGACGCCGCAAAGAACTGCGTTGACTAAAGGTTGCTGGTAGAACCCGTAGATGTAGTTGTCGAATCTATTGAATCCGATACCATTGATAGGACCGCCGGGACCAATGCCTGTTCTGATATCTGTTCGTTGACCGTTGACGAGATTGACGCGTGTGAGGGTGTTGGCGAGAAGACTTTGGACGGTGTAGCCGAAGCCATCGCAGTCGAATGTTGGACCGAATGCGAGCTGGGGCATCATGCTCGTGCTGGAGGTACTGCTGGATGATGTGGCGACTACGGGGACAGCTGCGCTGCTGGAGGTTGTGATTACTGGGGGTGCAGCACTGGTTGAGCTTGTGGTGACTGGTGCTGGAACTGCGCTTGATGTTGACGATGCAGCAGCGGCAACAGAACTGGACGAGCTTGAGGCAGCTGCAGCTGCAGCACTAGAGGAGCTGGCAGCGGCTGCGCTGGAAGAGCTTGACGCAGCGGCCGCAGCAGCACTGCTTGATGAAGTTGCCGCGGCGGCTGCGCTACTGGAGGAACTGGCAGCTGCTGCAACAGAGGAGGAACCCGAAGCCGCCGCTGCAGCAGTGCTCGATGAGCTTGCTGCTGCTGCCGCGCTACTTGATGTAGATGAGGGTGAAGCGATAGCAGAAGAACTAGTTGAAGAACCACTCAAAGTCGTGATAACAGGACCCTCCATACTTAACGACGCAGCCGAGCCAGAAGTCGAAGATACAACCATTGTCTCGATAATAACAGTACCTGGCTCTCCAGCCGCAGTCGGTGGATCATACAGCGTTCGTTCAGCTGTAGCTGTAGGAGGAGCAGCTCTGAAGATAGTGACATTGGTGCCAGCGACGATTGGAGTGGAAGTTGTTGGAATGCCTGCTGGTGCGCCGCTGATGGGAGTGGTCGAGGCTGCGGGGCTGACTGTTGGGGTCTCGATGAGGACTGTTCCTGGCTCGCCATCTGAGGCAGGGGGGATATAGATGGTTCTTGTGGTTGAGCCTGCTCCGCCGCCGAAGATGGTTGTGTTCTGTGCAACTGTTGGTGGTCGTGTTGTGCTTGTAGTTGCTGAGGATGAAGTTTCCTCTGGAGCAGAGCTCGGAGTTTGGATGAGTACTGTGCCGGGTTCACCAGATGCAGCAGGGGGAATGTATATTGTTGTAGTAACTGAGGCTGGGCCTCCGACGAAGCGAGTGACGTTCTGGATTGCGCTTGGAGACTCAACACTCGTGATAGCCTCGCTAGAAGTGGTTTCTGCAGCGGCGCTAGCTGAGGGAGTCTGAATGACCACCGTGCCCGGCTCTCCAGATGAAGCTGGAGGGAGGGTATAGGTCGTAGTAACTGACGCTGGCCCACCAACATAACGAGTGACATTTGGGACTTCAGTTGGCACCTCAGCTGATGGGGTAGACGTAGTAATTTCTTCAGGACTGGCGGTTGGGGTTTGAATAACCACAGTACCTGGCTCCCCAGGTGAGGCTGGAGGAATGGTATAGGTCGAAGTGACTGAAGCTGGGCCACCTATATACCTGGTGACGTTTAGAATCTCGGTTTCTGAAGCGGAAGCCTCCCTCTCGCTAGGACTGGTAGAAGGGGTTTGGATGATCACTGTTCCTGGGTCTCCAGACGAGGCAGGGGGTATTGTATATGTTGTCGTGATGGAAGCTGGACCGCCGACGTAGCGAGTGACATTGGGAATACCAGTCGCTTCCTCGTCGCTTGAGGTTGCGGTAATAGACGCTGACGATGTTTCTTTCGCCTCGGGACTGGCTGTAGGCGTCTCAATAATGACAAATCCAGGCTCGCCCGATACCGTAGGAGGTATGTAGATCGTTGTTGTGACAGAAGCAGGTCCTCCCACGATGCGAGTAATGTTCTGGATTGGCGTAACGGCTTCACTTGCAGAATTCGATGGTGTCTCCTCTTCAGGGCCAGCTGTTGGAGTCTGTATCACCACCGTACCAGGCTCGTCAAGGTCGCTCGATGCAGGCGGGTAGTAGATTGTCGTTACAACCGAACCTGGACCGCCGCTGTACAGAGTGACGTTTTGTCTGCCTACTGGGAAAGCTGTGATTGCGGCACTCTCACTGGTCGTTGTCTCATCCTCGGGGCCTAATGTTGGCGTTTCAATGATCACAACACCCGGCTCACCAGAAGCAGTTGGTGGGATGTAGATAGTAGTGGTGACCGAAGCAGGACCTCCAACAATACGTGTGATGTTAGCTGGTCCTCCGGTAGAAATGGCACTGTTTGATTCCTCAGGATCTTCCTCTTCAGAACCAGAGGTTGGTGTCTCGATAACAATGGTTCCAAGGCCACCGGGATCATCAGAAGCTGGTGGGAAGTAGATCGTCCTAGTTGAAGAACCAGATCCACCGCTGAAGATTGTAGTGTTGGGCCTGCCCTCAGAGGTAGTGAGAGGTCCTGTCGTTGCAACAAGACTTCCTATCGTCCTCTCACCACCAGAGGAACCTGTTGGTGTTTCAATGAGTACTGTGTCTGGCTCTCCTGAAGCTGTAGCAGGTATGAAGACGGTTCTTGTAGCTGTACCAACAACACCAGTGTAAATAGTGACAATTCCAGGTCCACGGGCAGTTTCAGTGGGACTAGAACCGTCTGGTGTTTCGATAACAATAGTGCCAGCCTCGCTAGATGCCGCGGGTGGGAAATAAATGGTACGGGTAACCGAGATAGGACCGCCACTGTAGACAGTGACGTTGGCGAGGGCATTATTTGGAGTCTCAAAAGCACCAGTAGGCGTCTCGATGATAACAGTATCTGGTCCGCCTGATACACCGGGCAAGGTGATTGTGGTTGCGGCTGTGACAGGACCACCTCGGGTAATTGTGACTTCTCCTTGACCACCATCAGTTTCTGAGGAAGAGCTGCCAGACTCAGTTGGAGTTTCGATGACAACAGTATCTGGCTGGCCCGAAGCTCCAGGTATAGTGAGAGTTGTAGCAGCTGTAACAAGACCGCCACGAGTGATTGTGACTTCCCCTTGGATAGAACCGGCTTCATTAGATGAACCCGTCGGGATCTCGACCAATACAGTATCTGGTCCTCCGGACTCACCAGGAATCGTAAGTGTTGTCGCAGCTGTCACTGGTCCTCCCCGAGTGATAGTAACTTCTCGAACAGAACTAGCTGTAGAAGGCTCACCGTCATCGCCAGAAGAGCCAGTTGGAGTCTCAATCAGTACAGTGTCAGGTCCACCAGGTTCGCCAGGGATTGTGAGCGTTGTTGCAGCTGTACCGGGACCACCTCTTGTGATAGTGACCTCACGTAAAGAGCCAGTTTCCGAGGATCGTTCAGCTGACTCAATCGGAACTTCAACAAGAACAGTATCTGGCTCGCCAGAAGCTCCGGGAATAGTAATCGTTGTTGCCGCTGTGACGGGACCGCCCCTCGTAATAGTGACTTCTTGAACGGCTCCGGTTACTGCAGTTTCACTGCCCCCGCCAGCAGACTCGGTAGGCGTTTCGATATAAACAGTATCTGGCTCTCCCGCTCCGCCAGGAATTGTGACCGTTGTGGCAGCTGTTACAGGGCCACCCCGCGTAATTGTAACCTCTTGGACCGCTCCAGTTCTAACAGACTCTGTAGGTACCTCGATGTAAACAGTATCAGGACCGCCGGATACTCCAGGGACGGTAACTGTAATGGGAGCTGTTGCTGGACCGCCCTTGGTGATTGTGACTTGCTGAACAGCAGTTACTCTAGGCTCTTCAGAAGATCGAGTAGGCGTTTCAATAAACACAGTGTCTGGACCACCAGATACTCCAGGAATAGTCACTGTCGTGGCAGCAGTTACAGGTCCACCGCGAGTAATAGTGACCGGATCTTGACCCTCAGTTGCAGACGGCACAATCTCGCCAGAAGATAGAGGTGTTTCAATAATAACGGTATCCGGTTGACCTGATTCCCCAGGTATTGTAATAGTTGTAGCAGCCGTCACGGGTCCACCCCGAGTTGAAGTAATCGCTTGCAATCCGCCAGTCACTGAAGGCTCATTTGACGTTGTTGGCGTCTCGATGAAAACTGTATCCGGACCACCAGATACCCCAGGAATAGTAACGGTAGTGGCAGCAGTGACAGGTCCGCCCCGAGTGATGGTAACTTCATCTTGACTATCTTCAGTTGCTGATGGTCCATCCTCATCAGAAGATTGAGGTGTCTCAACGATGACCGTGTCAGGCTGGCCCGACTCGCCAGGAATGGTTATAGTAGTCGCTACTGTCACAGGCCCACCTCTTGTCGAAGTGATTGCTTGAACACCACCAGTTACAGGAGGTTCATTTGACCTCGTTGGGGTCTCGACGATGACTGTGTCCGGCTTACCCGGTTCACCAGGGATGGTGATGGTAGTCGCCGCTGTTACAGGTCCTCCTCTTGTTGAAGTTATCTCTCCTGGGATGACTCCAGTTTCTGTCTTTTCATCATCTAAAGATCCTGTAGGTGTTTCAACGATAACAGTATCTGGCTGGCCTGATATACCTGGGATGGTGATCGTCGTTGCGGCTGTGACTGGCCCGCCACGAGTGGAAGTTATTTCGCCCGCACCCCTTCCAGTCACAGATATGTCTGCAGACTCAATTGGTGTTTCCACAAGCACTGTATCAGGCTCACCAGGTGCTCCAGGGATTGTAACAGTTGTGGCGACTGAAACTGGCCCTCCTCTGGTGATCGTGACATCAGCCGCACGAGTCGGCGTCTCAATAATCACAGTGTCTGGCTGACCTGCTTGACCAGGAATTGTGATCGTTGTAGCAGCCGTGACTGGTCCGCCGCGAGTGGAAGTCACTTCTCCTGGGCCATTAGCACTCTCCGATGGCTCCGCATCGCCAGATTCAGTTGGAACCTCAACGAGAACAGTGTCAGGTTCGCCAGGCCCACCAGGAATAGTAATAGTGGTAGCGACTGAGACGGGTCCGCCTCTGGTGATTGTGACTTCAGGAGCTCCACCAGTGGGTGTCTCGATCAGAATAGTATCCAGCTCACCAGATACAGTAGCAGGAATGGTGATAGTCCTCGTGGCCGTTCCAGACCCTCCACCAAAGATGGTTGTGTATCGCTGGCGTGTCGCTGACTCTGAAGCTTTTGCTTCTGGGCCTGTGGTTGGTGTCTCTATAAGCACCGTCCCTGGCTCCCCAGAAATTGTCGCTGATATGTAAAGTGTTCTGGGTGCAGTTACGGGGCCGCCACTGAAGATCGTGGTGTTGATCCGGCCACCAGCAGTTGGGGCGACCGGACCTTCAGTAGACTCAGTACCAGTTTCTTCAGCATCACCAGGCAGTGTCTCAATAATGATAGTGCCCGACTCTTCTGGGTCATCAGGTGGGAAGTAGAATGTTCCGCCAGCTGTTCCAGGCGCTTGGGTGTAGATGGTGACGTTCCCACGACGAGTCGCTGATGTGCCTGAAGCTTCTGTAATGGTTCCAGTCTCACGAACTTCGCTATCATTTGTAGCAGACTCCTCGGATCCTTGAGTTGGAGTCTGAATGACCATAGTGGTCGAAACACCAGATTCACTCGGTGTCAAGTAGAGCGTTGTAACAGCTGTACCTGGTCCACCACTGTAGACTGTCACATAAGTTTGACTGCCAAGTGGTGTTTCGACAATGAACGTTCCAGGTTCATCTGAAGCTGTACCAGGAACGAAACGAGTAGTGGCGACAGTGGCAGAAACTCCGGTGTAAACGGTGACATTAGCAGGACCAGAATCTGAACCTGAAGTCGGAGTCTCAATGAGAATTGTATCAGGATCGCCTAAGGCAGTACCGGGAATAGTAAGCGTTCGAGTAGTTGATGCAGGACCATCTGTGTAAACAGTGACTGCCCTCACAGCAGGGGTCTCAATGATGATATACCCATCTCCATCTGAAGCAGTAGGAGGTACGTAGATGGTAATTCTGCTGGAAGCAGTACCAGAGCTGTAGACCGTGATGTTGGGTCGAACACTAGGTGTATCAATCCCAGTCTCAGTCGCAGTTGCGATAGCGGTCCCAGTTGGTGTCTCAATAACAATAGTACCAGGCTCGTTCGCAAACCTGGGAGGTACATAGAGAGTCCTTCGTGCTGGGCTAGATCCAGCTCTGAAGATGGTAACATTGGTGTTACCGCCTATAGCAGATGTGGTAGCGAGAACATCGTCGTCTCCGCGAGCAGTTGCAGCTTCAGATTGAGTCTCTGAAACTGGTGTCTCAATGACGACTGTCCATGGATCGTTGGATGCTTGGGGAGGGACGTAGAGAGTTGTTCGGGCTGGGCCACGGCCTGCTCTGAAGACGGTGATGGTTGCTAATGTGCCGTCAGGAGCTTCCGTAGTTAGGCTGTTATCTGCTGGGATGATATCTGTGGGGTTTCCTCCAGATCCGTCGGTGATGGTCTGTCCATCTTCATCAGTGCTGGGGCCAGCTTCAGATCCAGAACCATCAGAAGTAGCATCAGGGCCAGATGTCTCGCTTTCCGCGTCGGCGTCTGTCTCAGATGACTCGGCGCCTGCTTCATCTGTAGTTCTGGCACCATCGCCATCGCCATCACCTAGCGAGGCACTCTGTGATGGCTCTGTAGAAGCCCCAGTGCCAGTCTCATCGGGACCTGAGGATCCTGTCTCGGACGCTTCGCCATCCGCCGAGTCAGAAGAAGTATCGGGCTCTGAAATCTCACTACCTGTAGGCCCATCTGTAGTGGTATCTCCTGAGCCGGGGTCAAGGTCATCATCAGAAGGCGCAGCTTGCGAACCAGTGGGAACTTCGAATCCAGGCGATGCTGCCGAGGACACCTCACCTGTTGCTGTAGACAGCAGATTGGAGTCAGGAAGTGGACCAGTTGATACCGCAGTCGGCAGTGGCAGCTCAGGCGACTCAAACGACGAGTCACTCATGACAGGTATACCTTCGACGCCGCCAGTGAGCGACTGGCTGCTGGATCCAGATTCGGGCGATGGATCAGTGGGGACTGGCACTTGAGGCGAGATCAAGCTTGTCTCGCCATCTTCAGGTTGAGCAGTACCAGTAGCATCTCCAGTCTCCCGAGAATTATCAGATGCCGTTTCAGATCCAGGATCTCTAGAAGTGGAGGAAGTCTCAGCATCAGAGTCGCCGCTCACAGAGCTCTCGCCCGAACTTCCAGATGTAGCACCAGCAGCAGGTCCTCCAGTGAGCGACTCTCCACTAGATGTCGTCGCGTCATCATCAACATCAATAGCTGTGGTTCCCAAATTTGATTCAGCAGTGGCCGAGCCTCCAACTCCTGCCGCTGGCTGGCCTGTCAATCCTGCACCACTGCTAGTCGCTGAACGAGTCGACGTGTCACCAGGCTGTTCCACGCGCTCTGACTCCGGAACGCTCTGTGTACCAATTATAGTCTCAATATTGATCTCCTCGCTTGTTATGAAGGTGCTTGAGCTCTGGCCTGCGCCTTGTGATGCTGTTGATGTACCCACGCTGGATCCGCGAGCTGCATCAGACACAGATGAGCCTTCGCGCGAGGTAGTCAAAGCACTAGATCTCGCTGAAGCTGAAGAAGGGCCAGCACTACCAGACCTAGTAGACTGGGAGCCACTTGAAGCTCGTGATGCTTGTGATGTCGCCTCTTCATCTTCCGAAGAAGCACCACCGTTGTTTCCTCCAGCTGTTGATCCAGGTTCACCTTCTACGAAGCCCGATACCGAGCTAGGAGCCCTACTACTTCTTTGCGAAGCCAGTGACGTCCCTCCAGCTTCAGCATTACCAGCGCTAGTCGATATGACAGCAGGTCTCGCAGTGAAACGAGTATCCGATGAGGAAGTTGCTGCAACAGGCCTTTGCACACTAGATGATTGAGAGGTACTTGACCTCTGGGCCGCGTTTCTGACAGATGACGTAGCTTCCTCTGCATCAGAGCCAGGATCATTTGTTATGACAGGACCACTATCGACAATAGTAGTCTCTCCATTCGAAGATCGAGAAGCTTGTCCTGAAGTCGAAGTCCTGCTGCGCGTAGAGCTCAGACCGCTACCTCCAGGGCGAACACGCGTGTCGACAATACCAGTGTAACCTGAACTTGATGAAGCACCAGCTCGTCTAGTACTTGAAGGACTTCCAGGAGCCTGTGTAGTTTGTGTGGAATCAGGCTCAACTCCAGAATCAGCTCCGCCAGCAGTGTCGACCGCAGATCCAGTAGACCAGCTACTTGAAGGGCGTCTGAATGTCGTTCTGTCGGTAGCTGCAATTCCACTTCCGCCTAACCCTTCAACTCCGCCTGTGAGACGGCCGCTACTGGTTGATCGACGAGTCCTCTGAGGTTCGGCGGTGAGAGTCTCCACAACATCAGCGGTGATGGTAAATACAGTGCTGCTGGATGTGACAACGTAGGTCGATGGTGATGTCCTAACAATTGGTGATCGAGTGCTTGGGCGGCCAGAAGTACTTCCCCTACGCGATGACGATGACTGCCCCGAACCACCATTTGCTCCTCCGGAATTATTTCCTCCTGATCCAGAGTCACCATCTCCATCCCCGCTAGAGCCTTTGCCGCCAGAAGTCGATCCACTCCCACCAGAACCTCCATTGCCAGAATCTGAACCGCCCTCTGAGCCACCGCCTTCAGACTCCGCATCTCCCGATCCTGGTCCATCTCCACCCCCAGAACCACCACTAGAAGCGCCCTTGGTGCTCGATGAAGAGCCAGCAGATCTTGTACCACTGCCTCCGGAGCCACCCTCACTGTCGGAACCACCTTGAGCGCCGCCTTGGGTACCTCCCGAGCCACTGCTTCCACCGGAGCTTGATGACCCGCCATTTCCAGACCCATTGCCGTTATTTGAGCCTGAAGATCCTCCGCTTCCTGATGCACCGTCACCATCGCCGTCTCCAGATCCGGAGCCGGAGCCCTGAACGCCGCCTTTTACAGGGTCATCGTCGCCACCAGTGGAACCCCCGTTGCTGGAGCTGCCTCCTTGTCCAGATGAGCTGCCACTGCTGCTGTCGGAACCACCTCCAGATTCCCCGTTGTTCGAGCTCCCTCCGCTTCCACCCTGGCCATTTCCGCTGCCCGATGAGCCTGAGCCACCACCTGAACCACCTTGGTTTCCACCACTAGATCCTCCAGTAGCCTGGGCACCATCATCGCCACCACCGTTGTTGCCAGTCTGCGGATTATTCGGGTTTTCAGGTGTCAGCACAATGACAGTACCGGGGTTACCACCCTTAGGAGGAATGGTGAGGGTCTGTCGCGGCCCTGATTCATCGTCGCCACCTTGACCTGGTAGGCCCTGGACATCGCCAGAGCCATCGCTAGACCCTGGTCCTCCATTTGACCCACCGCCAGAGCCACCCATCCCCATGGGTACTCCACGAGTAATAGTTGTATACGATACCGAGCCTTGCGGCCGAGTTCGAGTAGGTTGAAAAGCTGCACCATCTCCCCCATCATTCCAACCCGGTGGTGTTTGTATGAGTACAGTTCCTGGCTTGATACCAGTCGGTGGAATTGTAGTTCGGATAGGAGCTGTCGGTGTGACGCTTCCTTCGGCTGGTTCGATGATGGTCACATAGCCGGTAGCATCGGCAGGTTGAAGAGTGATGGTTTGACCAGCGAGTCCCAAGGCGCCCAACGTGTTAGGGGTCAAAGGCTCAAGGGCCAACGGCATCAGAGTTCCTGGTACGGGAGTTTGGATGATGATAGTACCAGGGTTTCCATTGCTCGGTGGTACTGTTAGTCTGATTGGAACAGTTCCGCTAAAGGCTGTACCCGCTGGTTCAATCACAGTGACATAATCGCCATCCTGTGCAGGCTCAAGAGTAAGGCCTTGGAGGCTTCCCCCATTGAGTTCTGATGTTGGGACATTAATGATGACCGATCCACGGTTTGTCCCAGTCGGTGAGATCGTGATGAGTTGCAACGACGCCAATGTCCCAGTCAGTGGTCGAAGAACCGTCACATAGCCAGTCACCTCCTTCGGCTCAAGCGTAAGAGGCTGCAATACACCCTGAGTCTCCGGCGTCTCAATAATAATCTGCCCTGGCTGTCCACTCCTCGGCGGAACAACCTGCGTAATAGGCGCAGATATCGTATTCGGCCCTGAATGCGGCCTAATAATAATAACATAAGACCTATCATCCGTCGCGGGGATGACTACATTCTCCGGCGCCGACGAACCACCCGGTTGTTCAACTATAACAATACCAGGCTCATCGCCCTGCGGTGGGACAGTATACTGCGTTGTTACTGAGCCTCTGTAGGGCTTTGTGATGGTGATATAATCGGGATCGGCAAGGACTGGATAGACCGAAACATATGTGTAACAAACACCTGAGAACTCATTGTTAATACCGAGAACTGACCTATCATTCTGAACACCAAACTGAGCACGCGTTAAGCTGGCGAAGATTAGGTGCCTGAGCACCTGATACAAAGGCCGCATTGTAAGCGGTTTATCAAAAGTAAATGAGAGATAAGAATGATATACGCGCAAGGCAAGTTACCTATGTTGAAGCAACACGCGCGACAAGATCGCGGGTGAGAGCTCCTAGGGGATTATAAAACTGCTGATCAGTTCTCCATATCCGCATTCAGATTGTGCATTCGGATGTTATAATGATGCAGAAAATCTCGTGTGTATACAAAGACCATTGTCAGCTGAATTTGGGTTGCTGAGGCGGAAGCCTTCATGCCAGGGCTGGCACACCCGCAGCGGATCGATGCCGTTTTCCATCCTGTCAAACACGTTCCTGCAGATGCATTGTGTAAGAGACACTCCGGTTGAGAATCCTGTTGGTTCAGGGTGTTGTGGTTGGAATGCTGGTGCTGAAGACAGGACCAACTGCCATTGTCTTGTGGAGTGAAAACAACACCCAGTGAGAATTGGAGGAGCCTGCGAAGTGGGATTTGTGCCTGTGTGCCTGGGCGTGTATGCAAGGTCCCGTTCAGGGCTTCCACCAACGTTGAAGATCATGCAGATGCTGTGCAGATCTTATATAAGTGGCGATCGGATAGACGGATATAGCAAGTTGACTCTGGGCATAATCATAGGTCATCAAACCAGGTATACTAATCATTTACCTCTCACGGGTCAAGTCATTATAACAATACCTTCAGACCCGTTGAACCAAAATCGAGACTTGAGATTGATTCAGATGCTGGCAGGTGGATATGATGTCTCACACAGCTTGGACACATGACGTTACACTAACAACACTCCACTACGGAAGCCAGCTCCTTAGCCCACCAAGCTACGATTTTGACAGAAGCTTATCTAAAACGTCAACTGCTAGCCCAAAGCCCCAAACTCACCAACTCTCAGCTTCACGTACAAAATCAAAGTGTAAGGTAAAGTAGCTGAAGTCTGGCGGCCGCCCAGCGTGCATAACTCTATTCATCAGCACATTCCAGGCTTGTCTGTGACTTTTTAAGACGAGGTTACACAAGGATGAGTCAAAGCTCCACTGTCGCACCAGCGAACGTTTTTGTTTGGCTAGTCGCAGGGAGATTTGGCCGTGTCCGTCTAGTCGATCTGTGGCTGATCTCAATAAGGATCGAGACCGTGGCGTTGGAGATTGTGATAAGTGACAGGAAATAACCAATGGATGATCAGGGTGTCATGATGTTGTGTTACACAAGAATCCATTTTCAGAGGGTATGACCATTAGATGTGATGCAATGTGAAATCACCTCTTTGTGAAATCACCTCTTGAGACATGTTTTTTTGTTCTTCTGTTGAGACTACTTATTTACCAGGCCTGCAGGTTGATTGCTGCTGCATAAGAGCGCGTTTATGACCCTGGGATTCTCGGTAGCTCGCGAAGAGTAGTCCTAGGCCGACATCTTTTTGCGGGAAAACATGGAGGGCTACTAAAACCCCTCTCCCGATTCATGATCCAGATCATCTTGTGCTCAATCACGAGTCTAGGCCAGGACTAAGTCTCATCCGTGTTCAACATTCTTGGTGGTCACACCTCGCATCCGAATGGCCCGGATCAGCGTCAGCCTTTTGTCTCAGTCTTGGCAAGATGAGCTCGCGTTGGCCTAAATGCTGTATGCCAAGACTCGTTGCTACGGGACAACATCAGAATCATCTTGCACAAAACTATTGTAACGTTCATTAATGCAGCAACTCGTAAGTAAATTGTCATTTTGTATAAAGAATTGTCAAGGACAATTAGATGATCTGGTGCTGAAGCATTGAGGCTTGAGCTCCAAGTACCTGGCTCTTGTGGATATTCCCCTGTCAGATTCGCCGTACGCCGTCCGCTTTCTGATGCCTGATCGAAACCTTATTCTTGTTCCTGCAATCTGATCTTGCTTGCCACCAATGGGAACTCTTTGGCTCCTGATCGTGTGGAATCACATATCACAGATCTTGAATAAGCTCAAGCTGCACATACACCGAAGTAAATAATTCTTCTCTGTTTGGAACCCTTTTCAGGGGCACAAGAACACTTTGAATCCAATATCTAGCCTTGATTCCCTGACTTATATGTCAAAGTGTTGATGAAGATATCTTCTCAGTGGCGCCTAGATTCAACGTTGTAGGCGACCAACTGCTCTCAACAAGAGGTACAATGCATGACCAGCTTAACACGGGCAGCAGATTAGGCATTCAGCGCCACCTCAGGCGGTAAGTGAAAAGGTCCGGGCCTAAAGTTTGAGATAAGGTTATGTAGCATGTCAAATGAGGCTCACTACGGAAATTTCGCTCGGGAATGCGACAGATTGACGCTAACCAATTTTGTCGGGGTCTACTGAACGGAAACGAACCGCACTTCAAAAAGTAGCTTGAGGCGTGCACAACTGATCTGGGAACTTATTCGCTTTCTCAGCCAATCGATGATGTCTAATAACCTGTAGTGAGGTGAGCTTAAATAGCTCCAGCGGAAATATGGATAGGAAACGTGAAGATGGGAGGTGGCCATCCGTACTTGAGGTGCAAAATGCTGCAGGGTAGGTGGTGTTGGTTTAACATCAATTTTGGCAGCTCTATATTTCTCATCAAATTGCTGCTCAGATGGGCAGAACCAGAGATTCAACTTGCTAATTTAAAATTAAATGGGAACTTTAGACATAATGGACATTCAGAATATATGTAGTAATGCCTTTGGCTTTTGCCCTTGTCTCAATGCTGAAACAATCTTAGGAACTCTACCTTGTTAAAAATGGCAATGATCCCCTTCGATATATAGCTGTCTTAAAATGTACCCACAGAGACCCTGAGAAGTAGCTGCCACTCAGTGAAAGCATAATAGTTATGCAGGTATACAGATGCACTGCTCCAATAGTTGAATTACGGCGCAACACTGTACTGTGATGATCTTGGCTCTAAATTCAAGAAGCGACTCTCAACCAATCAGAGCCACGCCCGGTTAGCTCAATCGGTAGAGCGTGAGACTCTTACGAGTACGCGATCTCAAGGTTGCGGGTTCGACCCCCGCATCGGGCTGTTCCTATAAAACGATTGCGAGCAATAGCGAGGCATCTCTTTTTTGTCTATATCCTTAACAGATGGCTGTCTTTTCACTTTTGCCATATCTAAAGCAAGCTCTTGTATCATCGAACATGTGGTTGAATGCTGACTTTGATTGCGACCTTCCTTTTCCAGCACGATATGTAAGCCCCCGCTTCATATCAAAAGATGAACAAGTATGGTCTCACTCAAAAGTTGTCACCAAACATCTCCCAGGAAGAGTTATCTCATAATGGAAAGCCACAGCTCTCTGAAGTCACTAATCACCCCCGAGCTGCTGATGCAGCTCGCGGAAGCCTACCTTCCTTATTCCAAAACTGAAGATCTTGACTTCACTATTGCCCAGTCAGACGCCTTCAGCGCAAACTTCAAGAAAGTATGCCAAGAAAGCAAGGCTCGAGATGCACTTATAGCACTCAGTCACCTCGGCCACAACGGAATACTCCCAACTCCTATGGAACTCGACCTCATGTCCTTCCTCCCAGAACCATCTTCCCCAGATTTCCCGCAACAATGCTTCGGACTTCAGTTACTTCTCGACCAAGCATCGAGAATCCTCCTAACTGGAATTGAAGCTCGTTGGCAAGTTGCATATTTTGGACCTCTGGCAAGACGTCTTACTGGACAGTGGTACGCACTACCTCACCATCTACGTCCGCATTCATGGCAGAGATGGAAAGACGATGTCGGCGTCACTAGCTTCAGCTTCTGGGTCTCGACGCAAGTCATGTGGGCAGCTCCTTTTCTTCACGCCGAGGATCTAGGGAGTCAAGAGATTGGATTGGAGTTATCAAACGACTTACGTCAAGCTGTTGAAGAATACACGGGAACAAAGGATCCGCATCGGGAGACAAGGCATAAGACACTAAAAGATGATCTGCTTTTCATAAGAGAAGTTGTCAAGAGCCCGCCAAAAGACGATGAGGGTGCTATAAGTATGGCAGCTTGGACGTACTGGTGGTGCATGATCCTGGATGCTCACTGGCCTATCATTGCGCGATTTGGTCGCTATCCTTACCGGAATGCTGCCTTTGGTAGGCCTAGTACAAAGCAGGAAGAGAAATGGTTGGATGACATTAATCACTTTTCTGAAGCTTCGCCAGAAGATGCTAAGCGTATTCAAGATGATGTAGAGAAGGGTCAGTGGACTCCACTTGGGCAGAGTTAATATGCCATGCACTTGAGGCTAGCTTTATGTGTCGAGAACCAGCTGCAACTGTTTTATGCGAGTCACTTTCGAATGAGATGAGTGAACTAGCCAAGGTAGCGTTATGTAATAAACAGAGAACTCTATATCACTAAACTTGGCAAGTTAAGCGTGGCGTGAGGTTGTCTATCTCTACCTTTTTCTATCAATACTTGCTTATCACCGATCTTGTAAGCCACTCATATCACAACTGAAAAACATTAAATTGAATGATGGTCCCGTACTACCTGAATGTGAAGATGACAGAGAAACTGGTCTTTGAGCGTAGATACCTCGGTAGTGCCGAGGTTTCTAGTATCTACTCCTTAAACATGGCCAGATTTGGAGATACTCTGATCTGAGAAGATAGTAAGCTCATCTTAGGGTATTGTGTGGGTGGTTGATAAGCTGTTTAAATGTGGTTTGACAGTGTTGTTGGCAAACCAACTTGTTCTGCCCAGCTGATAGTGACAGCTCATGCCTGCGTTGCGCCCCTTGCCTCGAACTTCAACATCAGACCACAGCCTCAATCTCCCTCAATTACACAACAAAAATCGTTTGCGGCATTTCAAAAGATTGCTAATCAATCTGTGCATAATCTAGGCGGAGCGATCGAGTCAACAACAACGCCCTCAGCCTCGTATTCGTCTTGTAAAGGTGTACGACATCATAGCTACGATTGGCAGTCTCGGAATTAGAGTTATCTCTCCATTCTCGCAATGACGAATATTTCCCCTGAGCGCGATTAAATCACAGCATTGCCACGTTTCTTGCAAAAATCCAGCTTTATTAATCTTCTCTCACCCGCAAAAACCAATCGGACCCGGGAAAAGTGGGGTAACGGGCCCGAGAAGGACTCCGATAACCTGATGCGGGGCCAGACGCGAATCTTGAATCTTAAGCTGTGAGATCATAATTTAGAGTGGTAAAGAACCAAGCTGCTGGGTCTTAGCTTGAGAAAATGAGTTTTCTATGCAGATCCTCGAATTAAATAGAATCAGTCCGTGGAATTAATGCGATGCATTGTCGTATCATGGCTTTCATATCGGTTAGGGGCTTGACGGGTTCTTCGATGGGCCCGGCAGGGAGGTGCATCAACAAACGATTGACCAATTGGAGGGCCAGCCCTGTGACTCGCACTAAGCTGCTCCTGGGTTAGGGGCTGTAGTTGTCAAGAGGAGTGGAGCTCGAAATTTACCGAGAACTCTTGATCCCCCAGCTTTTTCACAACGACATGTCTTGTGTAACTCTCTGTTCTTAGTGAGGTCTGTTGACATACGGTACAACACCACGTATTACACACATGAACTCATTTCGAAATGAGAGCGATAGATTATTAGAGATTCCAAGCTATATGTCAAATATGAGATGTTTTCCTTAACGCCATCCTCCAGTTCCCTTATACCGTTCCAAAGGTATACCATACCGTCCATGAAGCCATGATCTCCCCATTAACACCGATCCCTAAACGCCAAACACATAAAAAGATTATCGGTAAACAACCTGATGCCTCTCGTCAGGACTCGAAGCCGACGTCTTCTCGCTCTCAGGCGGCGGACTCGAATTGCTATCAGCAGGGCTACTCGACTCGCTCCCCGTCCCCGTAGCCAGCGCATCGTACATCAAACTCTTCTGCACACAAGTACATCTCTTCAACAGCTCCTCACACCTCTCCAGTCTCGCAAGTAACTCCTTGGTAGGTTTACGACGAGTGCGCTTAGGAGCAGGTGTACTCGGAATACACTCTATTTTCGCCTACCATCATTAGTCCTCATCTTATACGCGTATCATGTATATAAGCTTACCTTGATGCAAAAAGAACATGGACTTTTTCGGTCACATTTCTTCTTGCGCTGTTGGCACAGCACACAGGCTAGAATTCTCGGTGGGCGTTGTTGTTCGGGTGCCATTGTGCTATACGGTATGCCACTAGCCGTTCGAATCGAAATGCAGAGAAAGATGAAGGTATTCCCAAAAATGGTTTGTATCTCGGTCTAGGAACGAAATTCTGTCCGAGGCGGACGAACTGGGGTATTTGCTGCATACGCTTGACGCTGCCAATTCTGGTGCTCTCGTAGAAGCGGACTCTTGTCAGGACCCGAGTGGGTATCGGGGTCGGAGAGTCGACGGGATCCGTGTATCTAGGACCCGGATCCACAACACCCTTCGGTGCGACGGGCGTGAGAGCACCGCCGTCACAATGGTATTAAGACCCTGCGAGGAACCTACAGCCCCATTACGGTATCACCTTTCTTATTCTATACTACGTTTTATCTTTGTTATATCCCTTCCTTTATACAAACTTTAATAATTCCCCTAATTCGAACCAGAAACTGTATGTAACCTCACAGCTCACTTGCTAAGACTACGGGCGTTGACAAGGTATAGATATAAGCTTATACGGCTAGACATTTCCAAGTCTCTCTAGTATGGCTGCTTCTCATCTTCCGGGTGAGGCACGCTCAGAGCACAGCAGCCACGACACCATCGTCGACATGGACACCACTCCGAACGAGAAGCCCCCTGCTCCCAAGGACGACAAGACGAGCTCCAGCGACGATGAGATCGAGCAGGAGCAGAGCGAGGAGATGGTGCGTCGGCACTCCATCGTGCGCGATCTAGCACGGCAGTACACCAACACATCAGCGCACTTCAACGGCAGCCACGCAGATCTCTTCAACGCAGCGGATGCCGACTCGCCACTTAACCCGCACAGCGAGAACTTCAACGCCAGAGCGTGGGCGAAGGCCGTGGCTAAGTCGATGGGCGAGCATGGCTCTGGGTTTCGACAGAGCGGTATCTGCTTCCAGGACATGAACGTCTTTGGATACGGTGCTGAGACAGATTACCAAAAGGACGTTGGTAACATCTGGCTCAGTCTCCCAAACATGGCACGCAACATCGTCTCCCCCACCGCTGGTAAGCGCCGCATTGATATCCTTCGTGGTTTCGACGGTGTCGTCAACGCCGGAGAAATGCTCGTTGTTCTGGGTCCCCCCGGTTCAGGATGCTCTACGTTCCTCAAGTCATTGTCCGGCGAGACAAACGGTATCTACATCGACGAGGGCACATACTTCAACTACAACGGTGTGCCCGCCAAGGAAATGCACAAGCATCACAAGGGAGAGACTATCTACACCGCTGAGGTCGACGTGCACTTCCCTATGCTCTCGGTCGGCGACACACTTACCTTTGCCGCACGCGCAAGATGTCCCCAGAACTTACCGCCCAACATCGACCACAACCAGTACAGCGACCACATGCGCGATGTCGTCATGGCCATGTACGGCATCAGCCATACCATCAACACACAGGTTGGCGATAACTACATCCGCGGTGTTTCAGGAGGTGAACGAAAGCGCGTCACCATCGCAGAGGCGACGCTCTCCAACGCCCCCTTCCAATGTTGGGATAACTCGACCCGTGGTTTAGATTCCGCCAACGCGATTGAGTTCTGCAAAACCCTGCGCTTACAATCTGAACTCTTCGGCCAGACGTGTGCTGTCTCGATCTATCAGGCTCCCCAGTCTGCATACGATCTCTTCGACAAGGCCCTCGTTCTGTACGAAGGACGCCAGATCTTCTTTGGTCCTGCGGATGAAGCGAGGCAGTACTTCATCAATCTCGGCTTCGAATGTCCCGATCGTCAAACAACGCCTGACTTCCTCACGTCCATGACCGCACCATCCGAGCGCGTCATCCGACCCGGCTTCGAGAACAAGGTCCCCCGCACCCCCGATGAGTTCGCCGCCCGCTGGAAGGAATCCCGCGAGTATCAGATCATCCGCGCCGAGATCGAGACCTACAAGAGTCTCTACCCTCTCAACGGTTCCAGCGCCGAAGCTTTCCGCGAGAACAAAAAGTCAGCCCAAGCTAAAGGCCAACGCCTCAAGTCCCCCTTCACGCTATCCTACGCGCAGCAAGTCCAACTGTGCCTCTGGCGTGGCTTCAAGCGTCTCAAGGGTTCACCAGAGGTCACGATCTTCTCCCTCGTGGCAAATACTGTCACGGCGCTCATCGCCTCATCGCTCTTCTACAACATGCAGCCCACGACGAGCGACTTCTTTAAGCGCGGCGCTGTTCTATTCCTTGCTGTGCTGATGAACGCTTTCGCTTCCGCCCTAGAGATTCTGACGCAGTACTCCCAACGGCCCATCGTTGAGAAACACGCACGCTATGCCTTCTACCACCCTTCTGCTGAGGCGTTTTCTTCGATCTTGGTTGATATGCCGTATAAGATCAGTAATAGTATTCTGTTCAATGTCACTCTTTACTTCATGACGAATCTTAACAGGGAGGCGGGGGCGTTCTTTTTCTACCTCCTTGTTTCGTTCATCATGGTCCTCGCCATGTCTGGTATTTTCCGATCTATGTAAGTTCCTCCTCAAATTATCCCTATATGATTCCGACTGACAGGCTTAGTGCTTCACTCTCTCGTACACTCTCACAGGCCATGGTTCCCGCTTCGCTGCTGATCCTCGCCCTCGTCATTTTCGCTGGCTTCGTCATCCCAACGGACTACATGCTCGGCTGGTGTCGATGGATCAACTACCTCGACCCAGTAGCCTACGCCTTCGAGTCCCTCATGGTCAACGAGTTCTCCGGTCGCAACTTCACCTGCACAGCTTTCATCCCCAGCAACTCAGTCGCTGGCTATGAAGACATCGGCGGTCTCAACCGAGCCTGTTCAACTGTCGGCAGCATTCCTGGAGATAGCGTCATCAACGGCGATCGATACCTCAACCTTCAGTACAAGTACTACCACGCCCACAAGTGGCGCAACATCGGCATCCTCATCGCCATGACCATCTTCAACCACGTCGTCTACATCGTCGCTACCGAGTACATCTCCGCCAAGAAGTCAAAGGGTGAAGTCCTCGTCTTCCGTCACGGCCATCTCCCGGCTTCCACCAAGGGCAAATCCGATCCCGAGGCCGCTGTTTCTGGCCCTGTTCCCACCGCCGAGAAGTTCAACAACGAGGTTGCCAACATTCAAGGCTCTACTAGCGTCTTCCACTGGAACAATGTGTGCTACGACATCAAGATCAAGGGCGAACCACGACGAATTCTCGACAACGTTGACGGATGGGTCAAGCCAGGAACATTAACTGCTCTGATGGGTGTATCCGGTGCCGGAAAGACTACTCTTCTCGACTGTCTCGCCGATCGTATCTCTATGGGCGTCATCACAGGTGAAATGCTCGTCGACGGCAAGATCCGCGATTCATCTTTCCAGCGAAAGACCGGCTACGTGCAGCAGCAAGATCTTCATCTCGAGACCAGTACCGTTCGTGAAGCCCTTACTTTCTCCGCTCTCCTCCGCCAGCCTGCCTCTACCCCCCGCGCCGAGAAGATCGCCTACGTCGACGAAGTCATCAAGCTGCTTGACATGCAAGAGTACGCTGATGCTGTCGTCGGTGTCCTCGGCGAAGGTCTCAACGTAGAACAGCGTAAGCGTCTCACCATCGGCGTTGAGCTTGCGGCCAAGCCTCCCCTGCTCCTATTCGTCGATGAACCTACTTCCGGTCTTGACTCGCAGACATCCTGGGCCATTCTCGACCTCCTCGAGAAGCTCTCCAAGGCAGGCCAGTCTATCCTGTGTACCATCCACCAACCATCTGCTATGCTCTTCCAACGCTTCGACCGTCTTCTGTTCCTCGCCAAGGGTGGACGCACTATCTACTTTGGTGACATCGGCGAGAACTCTGAGACCTTAACCAACTACTTCGTCAAGAACGGTTCTGATCCTTGTCCCAAGGGTGATAACCCTGCTGAGTGGATGCTCGAGGTCATTGGCGCGGCTCCTGGTTCACACACTGAGATCGATTGGCATCAAACTTGGCGACAGAGCCCCGAGTATCAGGAGGTTCAGACTGAGCTTCAGCGTCTCAAGGCCGAGGGCAGTGCTCACAACGAACCTCATGACACTAACTCTGAATCGTACCGGGAATTCGCTGCGCCTTTCTGGGAGCAGCTTCGCATCGCTAGTCTCCGTGTCTTCCAGCAGTACTGGCGTACTCCTTCATACATCTACTCCAAGGCTACACTGTGTATTCAAGTTGGTCTCTTCATCGGTCTTGTCTTCCTCAACGCTCCTCTGTCAATTCAGGGCTTGCAGAACCAGATGTTTGCCATTTTCCAGGTCTTCACAGTTTTTGGTCAATTGGTTCAGATGCAGGTAAGTCTTGACCACTCCCCCGTCCCTCCAACTCTCACTAACATTACTAGATGCCTCACTTCGTCACCCAACGATCCCTCTACGAAGTCCGTGAACGCCCCTCCAAGACCTACAGCTGGAAGGTCTTCATGCTCTCCCAAGTCTTCGCCGAGATTCCTTGGAACAGTCTCATGTCTGTCTTCCTGTTCGTGTGCCTCTACTACCCCGTCGGCTTCCAGAAGAACGCCGAAGCAGCTGGTCAGACCGCCGAGAGAGGTGCTCTCATGTGGCTTCTCATCTGGCAGTTCCTCGTCTTCACGTGTACCTTTGCCCACATGTGCATCGCCATCACCGACACTGCTGAGGCAGGCGGCAACCTTGCCAACGTCGTCTTCATGATGTGCCTGTTCTTCTGTGGTATCTTGGCCTCGCCCAACAACATGCCCGGCTTCTGGATCTGGATGTATAGAGTATCGCCGTTTACGTACCTTGCCTCGGCGATTTTATCGACTGGTATGGCCAACACCAAAGTCACTTGCGCTGCCAACGAGTACACAGTTATGCAGCCCCTCAATGGCTCAACCTGTGGAGAATATCTCCAGAAGTTCGCCGACAAGGCTGGCGGTTACGTCCTCAACCCCGATGCCACATCTGACTGCAACTTCTGCTCCGTCAGCGACACCAACACGTTCCTCAAGGCTCTCAGTGCAAGTTACGATCACCGATGGAGAGACTTTGGTATCGGAATGGTGTACATTGTCTTCAACATTGGCGCAGCTCTGTTCCTGTACTGGCTTGTTCGCATGCCCAAGAACAAGAACAAGAAGAAGCAGGAGTAGACACACAATCGAGCTTCGGCTCTTTTTTATTTTATTTTTGGTACAAGGATTTGTTTTAGAGAAGTACTATAGACTGGTTTGGGTTTTTTACTTTACTTAGAATAGCAACCATCGAGTGTCGATTAGACTTGTAGGAAGCTCAATAGCACATCGCCAATACATTACGCTCTCTACCCGCCACTTGAGTGCCTCAGTGATTGTCATATTATTTGGTCACTCCGAACACCAATAATGCTTGTAGTACCTTTTCTGAGTCATAAAGAGTATCTTCTAACAAAACTCCGGCCATCAACAGGCTCCCAAAAGTAGAACTAGCAGGTTAAATTTTGCCCTCCCTGACCGCTTGCTGTGCACCTCCTCATTTCACGTCATCTCATCCTCTTAACTCGATCACGTTTACCCCATCGAATTTGCGAAATCCGAGTCCGGTCTTGACTCATATCTAGAACCCAGCATGGTCCGAACAAAAGCACCGCCTAGGACCCTGGAGGAGAGGTACCCCAACGACAAGTACCCCAACGGCCCACCCCAGATTTCTTTGCCACCCAGACTCCCACTAGTATCTAACAACCGCATCTTCAACGATCACACTGGCAGACCAGCCTTGATGTCATGGGAGAGCTCGGGGGTCTGTCCCTTGCCTCCTCTTGCCTCGTGGGTCTTCTATATGGTTCATCCAGATGTGCCGTGTGACTTTGATGGGTGCATATTCCAGAATGGTCTTGAGGATGGTGAGCCCCAGGTGAGGGGTGGCAGGTTTCGGTGGGAGTTCTTCTTTCTCCCAGGTGCCACGACTGAAGAATGCCATGAGCACTACCGCGGGGAGCTAAAGGCTCGAGGGACCATATGGCGGCACATCCGTAAGGTCAAGAGAGCCATGAAGCTCGAGAAGCAGAAAAGCCACCAACCAGTGGAGGATGATCCGGCAGAGGAGTCCGTTTCTGGTCTGGGCTCCACGAAACCTGAGTCCTCTTCTGATGAAGAAGCCATTGCCAACAACCAACAACTTCCTGGCTTGGTATGGCCCAAACACGATCGCGATTGCTCTTTTGTGATGTACCGCGGCTGGTTTTTTGTGTATCCACATGAAAATATCGATTGTCGAGGTGCCGATGGTGCGGCACGTGAGATAGATATCGTCACATTTGATCCCATCGATCAGGAAGACGAATGGGGAGAAGATGAAGTTCGGACGTTCGACCCGATGGAACACCCTATTCACGTAACACGGAAGAAAGCCAGAGAGGACTATGAGCAGGGGGTTAAGGAGTGGATGTACAGGAGAATATGCTCACACTGGGAGCGGTCGGCTGACGAGGCCACGGATGACGCGCTGAAGCTAGGTTGGCAATCTTGGTAATCAGACAGAACAATGCACAGGCGGGATTTCCCCCTCGCATAGATGGCAAAACAAGACCCAGCAAACAGATTGTCAGGAGTCTAGAAACTAACTGAGCTGGATAGAGTAACAAGCAAATTTCCGCCATATCTCACGTGTATCTTGCCCAATTGCCTAGGTTTCATGGAGCAACGGCTCGGTCGACATCAGAATACCATCGGCCATTGTGAAGGGGGACTTGCGCAATTCAAGAACATCACCCTTTACTTCGGCCTTATTGACATCTTGGCTATAATACTTCATGTCGCCATCTGCAATATAAGGCTGCAACCATGACCACTTTCCGTACGGCACGACCGGGACATGTACCCCATCACCGGCAGCTGGCGGCGCTGGAGGGTCCTCTGCTCCCGCCGGGTTCGGTGATTTGAGGGGATCTTCTCGGAATATGAACGGCCCCGCACGGTAGTACAGCCTGATCTTCCGCAGTGCTTGTTGCACTGCCCAGTCCGGAAGCGCCAGGCTTGATGGTGGGAGGACGCCCGTCTGGGCTTTCACAGGGTGGAAAACATCAACAAGGAGACAGAAGGGAAGAATTTGCTCATGGCGCCTTTTGATCATTTCATCGACTTCCAGGGGATGGCCACCTTCGAACAAGTCTACATGGCGGGCTTTCAGGGTGGGCAAGCTAGATGGATGTATTGGGTGACATGTGAAGTCTTTGTTCAGATCGGTTTCAGTCACGCCGCTGGACCAGAACGTAAAGATCTTGCCGAAGTCTGGCTGCGTTGGGGCGTCTTTTACTTTCAGTAAAGGAATATATGCGGCCAGACCATCGTCTGAGTACTCTTTCAGTCCAAGATGGAGAGGAAACTCGTAGTCAGAAAGCTTCGAGTAGAATTTCCCAGCGAGATTCTGAAGTCTCGTCTGGGGCTGCAGTTCCTCGTGATTCAGTTCAATCGACCATCCAGCGATGGCCAACGCAAAAGGACGACCAAAGGCGGAGTTCATGACGCTGGAATACGATTCTGCAGGAGGTGCCATACAGCTGGAAGCGTCGCCTAGGATCTCAATCATTCGCAGAGCATAGTGTTTGATCTTCAAATTTTGGATGAAGTCATCCAAGATATTCATCTTCCACTGATCGGCAGTATCTGTCAGAGGAGGCCCGAAAAGGCCATCGCTCATGGGAGGTTGGTTCACGTGAGCGACTCTTGCCGCGGTGTTGCCCTCAGAAGTCAGGATCTCTGCTCGCAAATCCCCAGTTGACGTGAACACCTGCAACGAAAGATCGGCGCTGTTATACATGATGTACCCACAAACAGGATCTTCCCACTCGCCGCAAGGCCTCCAGGTACTTTGGCCTCTTTCCCCCGGCTTCAGATACGCGTTGAACAGCCTTGCTGGCTGATTGATGGATGGCGGGATCTGAAAGTATTCACAATTGTTTCCGTTAGAAACCACGACATTGGGCGTCTCTTTACCGTCAACCATATGAGTTGACGGCTGGTACACCGATGAGATAGATGGTGTGAGACCGCCTCCATCAACAATTTCCACTCCTCGGCCGAACTTGTCGATCACATTGAACTTCTTGAACTTCACTTGTCCATGAGTTACGGGAATGAATACCGCCTCTGGATCAACGCCATCTCCGTAGGGTAGCGGATCGCAGTGATTGCGAACCATTTCCAGAGTTTCGGCAGTGAATCCAGCAGCTTTGCCCGCAGTGACGGCTTCAGGCATCGCAGTCCCGTCTGGAAGGGTCGGACGGACATGAGCTGTCCCACTGACAAGAGTGACAAGCTGGTCTTGAAACCCATCGAGACGGCAGGCTAGGGAGGGAATGGCATCCATATCAGCATATAATTGATCTCTTTTATCGACCCCAAGAACGCTCTCCAGCACACTTTCTGGCAGTCTCCCAACCGAATTTCGCAATACGTTTGCCACTGACGCGCCCGGGCTTGGATGCAATAGAGCCCTCCCACCCATTGCACGCCGCGGGTAATGAGACTTGCTACTGGAGACATCCTTAGTTGGAGTCAAGGACTGTGTCAGCTCTGGGTACACTTGAGCAGCAGTACGTCGGGTGTGTTGAGGTTCCCAGAGGTTGTACGGGATGTGGAAGTATTCTGCCTCCCATTCGACATACAGAGGGACGAGGGGGCTGTCCAAGACAGCCTCGGTGTTGAAGACAGCGTTGCAATATGGCGGTACGACCTCGTTGGGTTTAAGATCCAGCAATGAATCGCCTACACTGGCACACATATAGCCCACGTGTTCTCCATGAGCAAGTGCAGCGGCAGTGGGAATGGATACTATATTATCGGTCATGTCCATCGCAGCCTGATATGCGTCATCTCCGAACTTTGTAGCTTCGAAGGCCTTGATGCACTGAGATAGCAACCTCACAGGCTGAGCGCCGGAGAATCCATCAGGCCACGGGGATTTGCAGCCGAGAAGTGCCACTGTCGGGTCTTTTCGTTGGACAAAGGAATCGGAGGGAACTTTTGTTAACTCGAAGTTTGACGCCTTTTTTTCCTTATCCAGTGAAAAATTGCTTATGAGACTTTCCAAGCGAGCTTTGGTGTTGGTGAGTGTGTCCTCGAGACTCTTGATTTCAGTCACCAAGGCCAAGTGGTTGGCGGAGACCAGGTCTGTCCCCGACAGTGCATCGTTTGTGACACAGCGCCACCACTCGCAGAAGAGCTTCCAGCGCCGATAGTCGATATTGAACCGTATGTGATCAAAAGCCCATTGAACAGAGTTTATTTCCTGTAACGCTGCCTTGTCATCGTCAGTCAATTGCGGCGTGGAAGAATCGCCCTTGTCAGCTTGGTTGACTTTGTCGCCGGATGGTGCCACTTTCCACTGACTTCCGCCCTCGACTTGCTTGAATTCCCGGAGAACTCTCAAGAACTCCTCGGCTGCAGTCTGCTTATCTAGATCTGCATCATGAGATCCCGACACAGCGATGTTTTGCAGTTTCTGAAGATCCTGATGTGACTGGCCTGCATTGCCAGCCTGCATCAAAGCCCCAAGCGCGTCAAAGGGGTCGGTACCGACAGCCAAACTACCATCTGTTTTCATGATAACTGCCTGAGCCTCTGCGGATAGGGAGGGATTGTGCACATCGATGGATTTGCCATCAGGGTCCCATTTCAACAAAGTATACGTACTTCCATGACAGATATGCCGAGCAGGACTCTGAGATGTTGTCCATTTCGTCACTTCAGCTTGATCCATCTTGTTCTTGTCCAGCACCATGTTCAGTTGCGCAAGAAGCTTACCATTGGTAATGTCAGGAGCTTTACTCATCAATGGATCTTCGTTTATGTCTGCATGCCATCCGATTACCGAGTATCCGATCTCTGTGCCGGCAGGTATATCATCCAAGGGATCGTGGAAACTGAACACATTGGGGTTATGAGGCTGGTAGTCTGCAAACAAGATATTGCCTGCACTGTTGGCCTTGAGTGGCTTGACGCGAACGATGTCGGAAGAATCGCTTCTTTCGACCCAACCTTCCAAGTTCCTCTTCTCGCCTAGGAAATACTCTCCTTGAAGGTCAATGATACGCTCATCTGCCAAGTCTTTAGGCTCGCGGATATACTGAGATACGTCGGTCATCAGGTCAACGGAGGGGTCGATGTCGTCGATATGCCGGCAGACATCGCTTTCAATGACCCAACCAGCATTGGTGGCTGCGTTCCGAGTCACTCTCGCGACCATCCAACGGTTTGGTGGAGTAGCAGCTGCTTTAAACTCATCTTGCTTTTCCGACGCTGATTCCCATCGATACATCTGCGGCAATGTCCACGATATACTTATCCCGGACACGTGAGGGCGTGGTTGTGAAGTGGTAAGATCATAGAGCCGTGGGTTGGCCGCTGTGACTCTGGCACTATCAAAGTCTGCATGGTCCTGTAGGTCTGCCTGGACTGTTTGCTTTCGTAATCGAAGTTTAGAGTAATCGAACAGGTTCGTTGGAAGCAGAGTGACACTGGGGCATTGCTCTGAATACGCCTCCTGGTTTCCCAGTCCCAAGATATCTATCTTCATGGGGACCAGGAGTGTTGCATCACGAGGGGCACCAGTTGCGGATGCATCAGGTGAGGGCGCCATTCTCGTCTGTTGGTAGGTCCTCCTTTGGACCTCAAAAGTCTAGAGGGATACTGTTGTCGCTCAAAAACGGAATGGGGAGGAGAAAAGTTACGACCGAGCTATCTACTAGCAACAGAAGCATCTTCCCCAGTTAGGCTGGGTGAAATTTAAGTACATGGCTTTTGCTACAGATCATATAATCATTGAGGAGGAAAGGTAGGAAAGAGACATGGCCCCATATCATATCCTGGATGCAGAGAGACTACTGGGGAGAACGGAGTCTAAGCCGGGCACTAAATAAGTCAGATAAGCCCTGATTTACCTGATGGGTGGTGGTAATACAGCACCCCTCTTGTGGCGTCCGGGCTAGAACAGTCTTGGGCTTTCAGCTTCCCCACCCCCACCAATATCCCGGTTCGCCTGGAGATCATCTTGAACTGGTTGGCTGCGACGTCGTTCAGCTGCAGCTGTAGAAGGGCGAGCCAGAAGCAAGGAGAACTGCAGCAACTCACAAGTTGCTTTGCCTCCCCGGTGGCTTCCGAATCCTCTCTTTTCTGTCACGCTTCACACCTGAGAAGGAAGAGACAACTGTTTGTTTGTCTGTCAGGCCGTGGAGCTATAGACTAGGAACATGGGACTAAACCTTCACACATCAGACCCGAGATACCTCGTGAAGTTCCACGAGCATCATCGCCAAAACCCACTCACAGCTAAAGCATTCAACGATGAAGAATTGTTGGCACCGGATGAGCAGCGATTCTATTCGGTTTATGGACCATCGCTCACCGCAGGACAGAGGACCATAACTGTGAAGCAGGATGTCGTCGATCCAGAAGGCAATAAGTTCACTCTGTCGAACAGCCAGACTTTCAAAGTGGTCGCTCCGAGATTCAATCTGTCCCCGTCAGATGTCCACTCTTTCTGTCCTCTATCTGGGGGAACAGTGTCCCTCAAGATGCTGCCTCATATAGTATTTAAGGATCCGCATCTTCCCTGGGAACGGCAAATGGGATCCTCTACACCGCCGAAAGACGGTTCAGAGAGGACACGCGTTCCATGGTTGGCATTATGGGTGTTCCGGCCCGACGAGCTTGTCTCCCCGGGTACTGGCATATTCGCTGGAAAAGCGCTTTCTAGCACACGAGCTACTCGTCTTAAAGTGTCGGAAGTGATGCAAGCAGGAACATCGGATATATGTACGCCATATAAAAATAATGAGGCCTCTCCAGACGACGAGGATTCACAGGCGGACTTCATATGCGTCAACAAACAGCTATTCCAGGCACTTTGTCAATCTTATAATAGCGATGGCAGTTCGACTGGAGAGATCGACTTGACTTCCTACGGGTATCTGGCGCATGTTCGGAAGGTGGGCAGTGAAGCCCTAAAGGCTGCAGCAGCGTCTGTGACAAATGACTGCTTCAGTGTGGTCATTACAAATCGCACTGGATCTTCACAGAATCAAGACTCTGGATCTCTGGGTGCCGTCGCTCATCTTGTGTCTCTCGAAGGCATCGGCCCGAGTTTCAAACCATCGTCTGACGCCGAGCCGGTGGTTATCTGCTCGCTCTTCAGCTGGACATTCAATTATACTCTCCAGGACGACCAAGTTGAGTTTGAGAATGCCCTGAGAACAATTGGCACGCCTACCAGTGGACTCGAATGGCTACGGCCAAGCCAGGACAGGTATGCCAGGCTGCTGAACGCCCAAGAGGTTGACAAGCAGCGTGTGGGCCAGCGCATCAGGGACGGCTATTCATTGACTCGATATCGAACCATCTCTGGAGAAGAAACACTTGCTCTCCAGCGCGGCGTGCTCATTCCCACCCTTCCTTCACCCAACACTGCTCTCAATAAGCCGATTCATCTGTTTTCAACTCAACTACAGATCCTAGATACAGAGATTGGCTTAGTTGACAACTCGTATGCCGCCGCTTGGAACTTAGGCAAAGCAAATGCTCTGGCTGATGAGAGGTTTTTGAGCGCACTCGTCCGGCTTCGAACCACTATCTACAAGCGAGCATTGCTGGCTGCGAAGGCAGAAGTCATGGGAAGCCAAGATGAGGCGCCAGCAGTCTTGGAACGCTTAATATCTGCAACAGACTCGCTGTTAAAACTGTCCGATGCCAAGAAGGATAACAAGTTGAAATGGTTCAGCGACGTTCCAGCTGAGACAGACGAAAGCTTAAGCATCTGGGGTAAAGAGATGAGAGGCAACTTTGCTGTTGCCGTGACAGCAGAGATAAACAAGTTGGCTCAGGCTTTTTCTTCTGCGGAGCTTTATGATGAGCAGAATGATCCCTCATCGTCTGACTGGGCTGCGGTTATTGCTTGGGTCTGTGATGCGTTGTTTTTGGCCAACATACCTTGGTACCATTTGTTCATGGAGCCATCAAATCTGCCACCGAACTCAGTTCGATTCTTCTACGTTGATCCAACTTGGTTAAACGCATATCTAGACGGTGCACTGAGCATTGGAAACCATGTGGAAGGCGACCAAGATTCGGTCAGAGCGGCCATCAAGCTTCAGCTGCAGAAGTTCTTCAGAATGAAGAATGCAAAATCAGGGTACCAGCCACAGGTCCCAATATCAGGCCTCCTCCTTCGATCACCACTCGTCGCAGACTTCGAAGATCTGGGTATTCAAGCGCCTCGAAGACCAGACGACTCTCGGGTCACAATCTTGAGACGAGTCAAATTGGCTCCTGATATCTTGTTGGTGTTGTTCGACCGGACACTGACCAATGACGAGTTCCCTCAAGGGATTGAGATATGTCAACCTCCTCACGAACAGTGCTTTCTGGCCTACACAGGAAAGATCGAGAATGGAAAGATCGAGATGGCGTACAGGAACATCACCACTAAGCCCGCCAGCTCCGACAATGTGCCCATGACGCCAATTGATACACGTGTTTCGAAACCAGCAGAAATGATTCTGAATAGTCAATACGGCATCATCCTGGTGGAGAACCTTGCCAAGGATGTTTACGACTTCCTCATACATCGCACAAATACCACATTCTCGGAAACGGCACCCTCATCTGCACTCCTTGCTCTTCATTTGTCCTATATGTTGGTAAAATTACGCCTGACACTCCCAGACCCTGATCCGGCCCATGTTGTGGGTGACTTTGAAATCACTATGCTCGAGGTTCAAGACCTACAAGGTTTAGGGTCACAGTATCGGAAGCGAGAAAAGGACTCGAGAGACAATATACAGATGCTTCTCTACAATGCCACACCAAGGCTATCCGATGATACTCAAGAGTCGATCTATCCAAGTCCTCGACCTCCACATTGGTCGATGATCTCGAGAACGGCACTTGATGATAGGGACAAGTTGGACTCAGATACTGGCACTCAAACACCTGCATCCTCTCTGCCCTCCGGGTCTCAGTATGTCCTACAAGTTTATGCCTTGGGCTACAAAGCATTCAATGATCCGTCTGGGGCTCAGACCAGAGTTCCGCATGACGCCAAAGGACCATTGAACCTCGTATTTGGCATTCAGAGGCGGCAAAAAGATGCAGGCACGCCATATACACTCCGCAAGATGGCAATTCACATCCCATCTGGAACAAGCGGCTCTGTAAATTCTTTCCTCCTTGGATATGAAGGACCAGGGGCATATATGGCAAACAACATTCGGTACATTCCAGGAATCAGCTGTCCGCCAGCCGCAAATAACGAGGCGTCTGAAGTGATTGTGAACCTGACACCACGAAGCAAGGCGAACATCACCACATCTCCGAAAAGTTGCCTGACCACGTTCAACAGAGACATGACGTTTGTTTTGCGACAAGTGTCCTTGACCAATTTGCCTCCAACCTTGAATACCGATTTCGCTATCAAGATGAACGAGTACTATGCAGACAGCCCAATGCCGATCACATCAACAGCGCAGGTGAAGCTTGTGGATACCAAAGACTTATAGCGATCATACTGTAACATATTTAGCCTGGAAGTACGGATTTACTGTTTTTTTAACTCCTTAAATACCACAGTTGAACTCGTTGTAGGTGGATATTGCCCAGCTTCCGCCCTTCGATTCTGTATCTCCTTTTCATCCAGGGCCTTCGGTGCATTGCCACTGACAGAAAATGATTCAGTTCTGCTGATGTAACTCGTTGCACATCGATTTAACTGCTCAGACGACCAATCTAGCTCAAGTTTTGATCTCAGCTCCGCCATAAGTTGATCCTTGGGGATGCCGTTCATCAAGAATTTGGACATCGAGCATTCTGTGCCACTACATTTGAGCTGCCGCCACTCTCCGTAACCACCACCGGATCCTGGTTTTCCGGCCGCCCCAGTAGTCCCCGATGTGCCCGTATTCGACTCAACACCGAATCTGGCTTTGAGTTTGTCGTAGCCAGTTGATTCTTTTGGCAGGTTGATAGTGAACTGTCCTCCACTGCCTCCATAACCTCCGGCACCCTGTCGCCCCCCGTCGCCGCCTTTAGCTCCGCAGATACCGCTGAAACCCCACCCTGTCTGCAATTCGCCGGAATAAGTCCCGGCAGTGACGGCACCATCACCACCACTGCCTCCATCACCACCGTCACCGCCCTGCTGCCCCCTGCCTCCCGTGCAGTCGGCTATGAAGAACACCTTGTCATCAGGAAGCGCACTTGTGTCGTATGAGTCCGCTTCGATGATAAGACTCCCCGCGTCCGCACCCTGGAAGCCGATTGCGCCATCCATCCCGTCCCCTCCCCTGGTGGCCTCGTCAATCGAACTGATCACTTTTGGGAACCTGTCCAAAGTAACTGCCTCTCCAAACCCATCAAACCGATATTTGGCCTCGGTACCGCTCTTCCCTTCCTTTGCTTTTACGGGCAAGTTTTGCTCCGCGTTTGCGCCAGGCATGCGCACCATGACGGTCTTGTGGCTGGCATCAGTCGGGTGAGGCATGAATGTTGCCTTCTTGCACTTTATGTGCAGCGACGTGTTAGGTTTGTACGTGTACTGTGCTCCGGCGATAAAGACTAACTCATTCTTGCCCTGAATGCGGAATTCTTGACGCTTAGGGTCGTTGGGTAAGGGCTTCCAGAAGTTTTCTTGGGCGTCGCAAGAGAACGTTCCATCAGGGAGCTGGGGCTCGACGGAGCCAGCCGGTTTGAGGTAACACGATGGGAGATTTATGTGAATGATGGGAATATCGTCGTTCTGGGCGGGTGATGGTGTTGGTGGGTTATCTGGCATCTTGCCTAATCTCAAGAAAACTGAGATAGTATAGACACTTTCGTAAGTACAATAGTTGGCTTGGGATAAGAGAGAATCGGTATATCATATATCTGATACTGCAATATCACAGAAACAGTACCAACCTTTCATATATTTCCTCCGGAGCTCAAGAATACCGGTGGTCCGGGGAAGTCACTCTACATACCAAGCGGCGATCTAGACCTTGATAGAACACATCTACCCACCCTAAGCCACCTCAGCTATCATCCCCTCTCCTCCTCTCTCCTCATTGATCTCGCTCCCTTTCGATCGGACTATCTTCATTGGATGGCAAAACCTATGACTGATGGTACCCCCACGCGCCATCTGCACCCTCTTGCATGGGTTGAAATGGATGGCGTACTGTATGTCGTGTTTGACTATCATTCGCTCTCGGTTACGGAACATGGCGTTCTGGCGGCTATTCGCTAGTATTTATTGCACCTGAGGAAGTAGGGCAATTGATGCATAGACGCTCATTGGATACCTGTATTGCTTTGGCACTATTCTAGTGCAAGAACGCCCATCACTTCAGAAAGCAACCGCAACGTCCATCCCCTGAATCGGTACAGGTGCTTCACTTCAAGCTTAACGACGAGGGAGTCTGCCTCTTAAATCATCGTTTAGAAGGCAGTAAGCAGCTTATATCTGGATCTATTTTGTCACGATGAGCTCCGAATGGGTTGTTCACTCATTCCACATCAACGTGGGAGCCGGAGACTCTGCCATCCACATCCGCGCAAAAGCAAGCTTCACTAAACCGCAAGCACCGCCCACATACGAATATGACCGAGTGGTTCTGATAGACGGCGGCGATGGCAACTGCGATGGCTGCACTCGTATACAGAAACTCCTTTCTGCACTTCCCTCTGTATACGAAAACAAGCCTGTGGCCCCGATGCTGCAGCTCGACGCCATTGTCGTTACACATTGGGATACGGATCATTGGGCGGGCATTTCACGTCTCATGATCAACAACCAAAGCAAAGATGGAAAGATTCCGTTTCTCAAGTCCAAGGATGAAGGACTTACGACAATATACGCCCCGGACGACAACTTCCCAAATGGCTGCAATTTCAAGGTGGAAAAGGGCAATCCCCCAACGATTACTATGGGCAAGTCGAAAAAATGTGCCAAATTTTACCATGGGAAGACCCTGATCGGGGCCGACTTCTTCGAGGATTTCGTACCTGGTAAGAAAAAACTGCCCGGGGGGGGAGCTAAAGGATTGTACTCTACCAAGGGGAGCGGGTATAAGAAACCAGCCATGTTCTGCGTGGCCTGCAATAACGTCACAATATTGAATCAGGTATCACTGATAGACTCGCCCATTACCATCACCAATATGCGGTCAATCGCAAATATCATCGTCTGGCCTGGGGGGAAGGTGTCACATTACTTCGCAGGGGATCTGAACCATGCCAACGAGTCTCATATTGCAGATTGGATCGGAGATGTGACAATCCCAAACATTAAACTTAGTCACCACGGCGCAAAGTCCTCTACACCCCTCAACATGTTGGTTCAGTATAAACCGACCAACGTGATCATATCAGCAGGTCACAAGCATGGCCATCCGAGTCCTGAGACTCTCTTGTACCTCGTTGGGTACTTCGATAGTCTGGCTAAAGATAAGCCCTCGCCAGATGTATCACGCTCTCTTTGGGTTACACAGTATCCTCACTGGATGACTATCGACGCCCACAATGACTATCTGATGTTCCATCGTTTCTCAACACAGCCTTTCTTTCAGATCCCATCAGGCCAGACTGGCAAAGCAGCCAAGATCTTCAAGTACCAGCAGCAGGTTGCACACTTTTTCAACCAAGGTGCATCCAAACTTCGAGACGATGCATGGACCGAGCTGCAACTTTGGGGTAAGAATTATGCGCGGAATAATACGGTCTCGCGGAGGAGAGCGTTCAATTTCATCGCCTCGAAGCTCTCGGAACGCTACAAGCAATTTTCCGAGATTGGAGCCAACACAGCGCCCGGCTTCTCAGCCGCCAGCACGGGCACCGCGAATCGTCCAGGGGACCAGGTCTGGTTCATCGGCGTCCTGCAAGCTTATCCCTTATCGAAACGTTTCAAACCGAATAACAGGGTTTACTATCTAAAACAATCCCAAAAGCTCATAATAGACCTCATTCCAGAAAGAGACGTCAAAGCAGGCCCGAAAAAGCGCAAGGCCGACGAGGTAAACGGAGACATCTCCTTGCGGACTGTGTCAAGGCAACCCACAAATCAAGCGGCAAATCCGCTTCCAAACCTCAAGAGGACTAAGATCACACGAAATGGCTCACAAATCTCTACAGGTTCGCTGTCTACGCTCGTTAGCGCTGCTGGGGGCAACGACACGGATGAAGAGGAAATTCTCTTTGAGGACCCGAAAATAGATCCGGGACAGATATCCAACAAGATAACTTGGGCTCTGTGTTGCAGTAGCTTCTTCGATAGCAACCCACTTTATATACCGCCATCCTTAACTCCACTGCCAGTCGGGCACGCCTGGGATTCATTCGTGGCTACACTCCCTCGTGGCATTATTGGGTTTGACACAACTGGTCCTCTGAGCACAGAGAAGCCCTTTATCCTCCCGGTTCATACCACTGACGATGCATGGCTCTCTTGGATGCGACTATGGGCAGGCGTCAAGTCGATCGTTGGCGTCTTTGATGAGGACCCCATTAAGAATTATGGCACGACCAACGGCATTCCGAGCAGTTTTCGATTGTCTCTACTCAACGGGGTGACATTCTCGACTCTGAACTTGAACAAAGCAGTAGGACTTGACCCCGAACGCAATATCGTTTCGAGACTAGGTACTTTCCCAGGCACGGGGATGATTGGATTTGGACTGTCACCGAACATAACAACATGGGAAGGCACTGGCTCCAACATCATGAAGACCTTAGACGATTACCTAGGCTGGGACTCATCAAACCTTGTCAACTCTTCTGAGTCATCCCTGGCAGGCCTGATCTTGAGATCCACTTGGCACCTCAGGCAGGAGGTTGGATCGCGAGGATCTGCCATATGGCATGTTCCGTATCTAGGAGATCTAACGGCCGTTAGATTGGAGTTTGAACTGGGTAACGTGGGGGATGATTTTACAAAGTCCTTCAATGAGATCCTTGGTAACTTGGGCATATCCGTCTCCCTCAAAGATTTGGGCATGACCTTTAAGTGGTACAGTTTAAGAGCGACAACTCAGGGGGACGAAAAAAGCCCTGAATTTGCTGTCCAAGGATTCGCGAGAATCTGGCTTCACTCTAAGCTGAAGCTCTCACTTAACGTCGATCCCCTTGAAATTGAGATTGATCTTCTTCGAGACGACGATGATCCGGCAATAACACTCCGCAGCGGACCAAAACTCTTGACGATTGACGGCATGATCGCCGAACTAAGAGACCTTATTAAGCTTCCCGAGGGTTCAGATGTCCGTGCGAATATACCGAGCGATTTCTTCCCTAGCATCGCCTTTCGGCGGGCCGTGTTGCCATACGACAGTACTGCCGCGTCATTCACGCCCAAGAGCCTGGCGCTGGAGTTCGAGGCTAGCTTTCATGCTACAGGGGACGACGACTCCCCTGTGTCTGCAAACATATGTATAGCATACCAAACTGGCCCTCCCCGTCAGCTGCGCTTTCAAGCGAGTCTGTGGACGCCTAACCTTACCCCTCTCGTTGAAGGATTGCCGTATCGGCTCCTCCCTGCCTATGAGGTCTGTGACGACTATGGACCACAACCCACAGCTGCTTCGTCGATTTCCCTTCTCAAGCTCATACCAGGGTTCGAAGTATCGCAACCTCCAGCTGGTATCCCAACAAATGTGACCGCGCTTGGCTTCGGATACGAGGACGGGACTGTGACTATCTGGGGAACGCTAGAGGACTGCACTCTTCCAGGTGATCGACTACCTACCATCTCGCTGGGTCAAATGTCAATCAACGGCACGTACGGCCCTGGAGGTAAGACTCTGGGCCTTCAATTGGCAGTTCAGATCTCTCCTCCGGACAATCTCATAGATATGGATTCCATGCTGGGACCGAGTCTTCTGACTGGCATCTTCTCTTACGATTCTAACCATGGTTGGGATATAGAAGCCGACGTGGCGGACCTCAGTCTCGCTCATATCTGGCAGTTCTTCGACTCATCTCAGCAAACGTCTCTGGTCAAAGTATTGGGTTCCATCATGGTGCGCAATTTGTCTATCAGGTATGCAATGCAAAAGAGCGGTTCGAACACCGTCTCCCAGCAAGCCACAGAGCTGAAGATCAAGGGAGATGTAGAGATTGGCCTGGGAGACGATGGATCGCGGCCTCCTCACTTGCTGTTCAAGTATAATTACCCTTTGGACGGTCGGTGGAATATGGATCTCAGTTTCGAAGAGACTGTTAGCCAGGACATCACCATTGAGAACCTTCTGGGTACTTTGAGTCCTAGTGATGGGTTATTGAAGAGCATAATTGACCTCGTCGGCGGCCTTGTTCTCGTTAGAAATGGCTCTCAATCGGGACTGACCATTCAAGTCAGTCCAGAACTGCAAGGCACCAACAAGAAGATTAATCTCCGGGCCAAATTGCATGTCGACCGATTCGTTTTCACATACTGCCAATATACTTCTACAGACGAGAAGAGTGTATTGAAGCGCTTCCTATTGATTTCGGTCAACCAGTTTGAGATACCTATGCCGAACATACCCGTTCTTAAGCAGTTCAAGAGCCCTTTCGACAGCCTTTACATTCTGTGGACGGATAGTGATATAAAGCAGAGCGATCTGACAGCATTGAATCCATCACTAGCAATAGCCATGGAAACTGATAATATTATGAGTGGTGAAGATGAGGAAGTCTTCAAGGCTGGTTTCCACACAGGCATCATGTCGGATAAAAAGGTCCTTCTGAACCACACCTTTGGGAAACAAACTAACGACAAGACTGCATCGAATGCCCAAGAAAATGCCTGGGTTAACCCTTCAGTATTGCCCCCTGAGAGGAAGGTCGACACAACTTCAAATACGTCGACTAAAAACTTCCAGAAGAGGCTCGGCCCCTTGACTATTTCTAACATTGGGCTGAAGTTCGAAAGTGGAAACATAGTTGTCGTGCTTGACGCAACACTGAAGGTTGGACCCGTTGAGATGCAGATCATGGATTTTGGACTCGGGCTCAAGCTCTCTGATCTTTCCAAAGACACGTTCAGCTTCATCCCCTCATTCTCCGGGTTTGGGTTGGCAATCGACTCTCCCCCGCTCGATCTTGCTGGCGCATTGATCAAGCGCGGGGACTTTTACATGGGCGGGGTGATTGCGGCGTTCAAGCCATATATCTTCCAGGCGGTTGGCGCATACGGGACCATCAAGAAAGGAGATGGCGCTGTGATCAAGACAACCTTCGTCATCTTGGCCTTGGGTGGGCCGTTATTGAACATCAATGGGATCGAGATATCTGACGTGACTGCGGGTTTTGGATACAACTCCGACATCAGATTTCCAGATCCTACTTCGGTATCTTTGTTTCCGCTGATCGCAATGGGCCAGCCACCAGCGCCACTTGATCCTCTGAAGATATTTACTGAACTTGCAGAGACAACATGGATCACACCCGTTGCAGACTCGTTCTGGGTGGGCGCTGGGGTCAGAGGATCTGCATTCAATATGCTTGACGCAAAGATCGCAGCCGTTTTAAAGATCCAAAATGGCACTCTCTCACATGTTGGAGTTTTTGCCGACTGTAAAGCGCAGATCCCTCAAAGCGGAGCCACGAAGCTCTTCGCTTCCGTCGAGCTTGGTATTACCGCGGTATTTAATCTGGTCAATGGATCTATGCTAGTCTATGGATCCCTTTCACCGAACTCATATGTGATCGACTCTTCGTGTCGTCTCACTGGAGGCTTTGCCGCCGGTACTTGGTTTGGTCCCTCGCTTTATGCTGGGGACTGGGTATTTGCTTTAGGAGGGTATCATCCCAAGTACACGCCGCCATCGTATTATCCTCAGGAGATCCCACGGATTGGTATCTCGTGGCAAGTTTCGGATCGAATATTTGTCAAGGCTGGTGCATATTTTGCAATTACACCAAAAGCGTGTATGGGAGGAGCTTCAATGCTCGCGACATGTGATGTCTGTGGCCTTCACGCCTCGTTCTCGGCCATGATTGACTTTCTCATGAACTTCGACCCTTTCCACTATGTCTTGGAAGTTTCTATCGACATCAGCGTCTCATGGAGCGGCTATGTCCTCTTCATCTGGGTGAGTTTCGGCTTTGATATTTCGGCCAGCTTGTACATGTGCGGGCCTCCAGTGTATGGCATATTCACCATAAAGGTCCCCATAAAGAACGTGACTGTGATGTTTGGCGACAGTAATGGACAAAATGCACCTGATAAGGTTTGTCTAGATACGTTTCGCAGTATGCTTCAGCAAAATGGGCAAGGCAACAAGGAGGAATTGAAGATATCGTGCGGATCAGGGTTGTCCTCAAAGGACGACACCACAGGTCACTGGACTGTGAGAGCCGGGACCTTTGCATTTGACGTGCGATCGAACATGGCAACCACACAGGCTTACTTGAATGGCACCGCTGTGGGAGCTGCTAACAAAGTCTATGCTAAACCCATGCAATTGACAGAGAGTAGCAATGGACTAAAGACCGATCTCATAATCACTGTCACAGACACAAGCAGTGATGATCAGTATCGATCAGATGTCATATCGGGAAACCTTCCCGCAGCATTGTGGTCACCGTGTGAGTCAGCAAAACGTACTTGTGGAGTATTTGCTAATCAATCGCGCCGGACAACAGATGATTCGACCAGAGATCCCAGTGTTTCCAATGCGGACAAGTCTGCTCTCCTCGATGGCTCAGCATCGACAATCTCGTCTACATATGGGTTGAGTGTCCGTACACCAAGACCTCATCTCTCCAAAGATGAGATTAAGCCTTTCAAGATAAGCAACGTAATCTTTCCCATCACACTCGAGACCGGAGCTATATCTGCTCCAGTTCCTTCCTGCCCAGTTCAAGATGGATCATGGGAAGGGAAAGAAGCGACAGGAGATACTGTTGCACAAAAGAGGAAGAATGTCCGAGGCATTTGGGGAAACGAGAATACGAAGCGCGAAGCATTTGCGAACGCATGGGTTGGAGCCATGGATTGGACAGAGTTCACGCCCATAACCCAGACTCCGACGCGATTAATTGATGGGTTTGATATTTTGGTACGAGGAACACCGCTTATCAATTGGGGGTAGACAAGTTGCGAAGGGATTGGACATTTATTATAGTAGATCAGATGAATGGAACGAACTGTGCTTTCGAGAGGTCTGCGAAACCTTGAACAATTGACTCTTAATTAAAGCCTCTCTAGTCGGATATATATAAAAGAACAAATAACTTCCTTATCCTTATAATCACGTATAAAAATCTCCTTAGTTCCAGTAACCCAATCTTGAAGCAAACCCTCCTCTTCCTGTTGGGTATAGCCCCCCTGAGATCCCACCTGAAGAGCCTTGGTAAAATATCCAGAGCAGACAGCCATCATCCAATCGATCACGATTTCTGCGTATTTGTGGCTTACCTCCTGACTGGCGTTCGACTGAATCTTGAGCTCATGAAAAGCCGGATGCATAACATCATCTTCGAAAAGATCATGAAGTTTCCAAGTCTGCGTGTACTCGTCTATAACCTTTTTCACATCGCTCAGTGTTCGATTGTAGGTCGGCACCCTAAAGGCTTGGGCGACAGATACCGGAATCTTGCCCTGTTGAACCATTTGGATCATGGCGTTACGACAGGCGTCAACGGGTCCGCTATAATTCTCATAACCAGCAGAGGCCTGACCGACGAAAGAGAGAATGAGGGATCCACCAGATACGATTTCTTGAGAGCGAAGCTTCAGAAAGGTTGCGAGATCAACATGAGCTTGCTGCTGGAGGAGCTCGGACTCATCTTGGCCATCCTCGGTAGGTTGGGGAACATAATCGAGATGATGGAGCGCAGCGAGAGAGAAACCGAGGTGCGCAGAATTTGGTGGAATGACTTGCTGATAGAAGCTGCGAGGGATCATACTAATGAACAAGGGATGGAGATGTTGGTTTCCAACTAGTCCGTCAGCCCACGCAGTGACGGTCTTGGACAGTGTACAAAAGTCGTTTTCCGGGCGGTCACTGAAAAGTAGTTCCAGTGATCGAGCAGGGATAGACTTCAAAATTGCCTCCATTGGTTCTAAACTAGAGAGCTATGAGTACATAGAGCCCAACGTCGAGGTGATAACTTACGAGTTATTCCCATGGGCTGATCCATATTCCACGATAGATACTCGAGTAGATTCGACCTTGGATATGGCCTCAGCTGCAGCCTGGAAAAGCGGCAGGGCTTTGAGCATGGCTTCATGTTGAAGGGCTGCATGTGAACTGTAAGCGCCGTTACCCTGCATGGGGACATTGTTGACATGTGACTTGTCTGCCATTCTGAACAGTGAATAAGAGGGAGGAAAGCTGAGGAGGAAAAGCTATACGTTGAACTCGATCAAGGAGGGGGCTCAGCGATTATATACTTCCATGCACCCAAGTCTGTCTGAAACGGACTAGCTCTATTCGATTACTAAGATTGGCTACATCTGCCTCAGAGCGAATATGACCTGCAAGCATTACATGAACATATAGTAAGCACCTGAGAAGAGGAAGATCCCCTTGTCTGACTATACTGCGTGATCAGTCGCTTCTCGCGCCTTGCACAGGCCATTGTTTAGTGCACATCTTCTATTCGTGTCCGTTTACATCGCTCCGTGACCTTCTTCGTCAGACGAAGAATAGCCAAGTCCGGCATCTAGAGCCTCTGTGGATCTCTCGCCGATTACTTCTTCATTTCAGATATTGCTATACATCAAAACCTCTTTTTCACCCGAACCTTGTAAGAGTCCGCCTCTAGCTGCTGCGCAATGCGGAACACGGTCGTCTCATCCTGGCCCGGGACATACTGGAAAGTGAATTTGCGCAGAAGAGTCGTTAGGGAAATATGCATCTCCTGAGAAGCGAAGTTCTTTCCTACACAGATTCTGCTCCCGGCAGAGAAAGGCCAGTAGGGCATAGTGGAGGTCTGATTCTGGGAGTAGATCTCGAGCCATCTCTCGGGTATGTACTTCTCGGGCTGCTCCCAGATGCTGCCGTCAAGATGAGCTTCTTGAGTGTTGGGGAAAACAGTAGTGCCTCGGGGAATCTTGTAGCCAAGAAGAGACTCTTGTTTGGATGCCTCGCGGGGACTTCCAGTCGCCTGCCCAGGAATCAGACGCATAGTCTCGTCGATACAGGCTTGGAGATAGGTCATGCCAGTTTGAGAGTAAGCACACTCGGTAACCCGGTCAGGCTCGCTGGGAGGATACCATTTGTCAACTTCTGCAATGAGCTTCGTCATCACTTCGGGGTGCTTCAGAAGCTGGATGACTGTAAAGAGCTCTGCGTTTGCAGTAGTCTCACTTCCAGCGGCTAGCAGAATTACACTCTCGTCTTGGACATCTGAGGTGCAGAACTCAGAGCCGGGAGAGTCATCACAGACATCGACGAGATGCTGCAGAAGGTCTTGGTACTTGACAGCTCCAGCCTCTTTGCGACGCTTGTCAACAATGTCAAATGTGAACTTCTCAATGTATGGATCTCGCTTGGGCAGGAAAGGGATGTATTTGATCCAACCGATGAGTTGCATCACGGCAGAGATCTTCATACCAGCTTTCAAGCGAGATGGCAGAGGGTGACTTCCATTCTCGACAACGTGGAAGCTACCACCAAAGGTAGTAACTCCAATGGTATCAATAGCCAACCCGTGGATAAAGTGCTGAAGATTGATAATAGTACTCTTGGAAGGGTTGTCGCAAAGTTTGTTGAGATGAGCAACACCAGCATCGACACAAGACTTCATGAGAGGCTCCAGACTACGGATATAGCGGATACCAAACATAGAAGACAGCATGCGCTTGCGTCTAGAGTAGGCCTTCTTCTCAGTAAAAGCGAGAAGCGTTGGACGATGGAAATCTTGTCTGAAATTCCCGTAGATGGCTTCGGACTTGGCCCAGTCTTCGCTCTGGATGATTCGCTTAATCTCCTTGGAGTCACCAATAGATACCATCCCAGGGGCAAGGACCACAATGGGGCCATATTTGCGATGAAGAGCACGAGCAAACTGATGGCTCAAGGCAATGTCAGAACCAATGTTGGGATACAAGATCCGGTTTACATACCTTTTCCCCTTGAATGTGGCAATCTCCAATGGCCAAGGGCTGAACTTGTTGATGAGAGGGCCAGGGATTGAGATGACAGGAGAAAACAGATTTCGAAGGAACTTAATTTGGTCAGTAGAAGATCTAATACCTGGTAAGACGCTGACTTACATCAAACACTCTTGGTACAATGATAAATAAGGCGATGAAAGCGCAGACAGTGTTGGTGACTGTCAGGTTCTCGAACACCTCAGACACCTTTTTCACCGAACCATCTGAGTTTAGACCCAAAAGATATTCAAGTGGCTTAGAGTCCATGACGAAATAAGTGCTGTACTGTATGTTGGTCTCTAGCCAAAGAGAAAATGGGGATTACAATAGCGACTGGAGGAGCGGGCGCACTATAAACTGCCGTCAACAGGAGCATCCAGTTTAGTGAGCGAGCACGAAACTTGTCACCGAGGCGGTTTTGCAAATTCCCCATCGTACAATAGAAGCAGGCCGTCTCATAGTCAGCTTCGGTAGCTCCCGGAACGAATAATGGCATAACTGACAGTTGCATGGATGAGCCCATACGGCGGATCAGGCCGTCCACCCGGAGGGTTACATGCAAACTGACTGTAGTTGCAGCAGGACCTATGCCCTTGACGGTTATGTGGGTAAAAGTATTTTACGAATGTCTATGTATGGATAAGGTTTGTGACGGCTAGATTAAACAAATAAGCTGATCAGTGCGCCGTGCCAATAGATGTGTGTCGGCGTAATCCTTCAAAGCTGCATAGTGTATATCCATACCATGAACCAACTATCAATACGCAATACGCTGCAACTGGGATGCAGGAAGGCGTAACATCCAATGCCATTACAGGCAGGGGTAGATTGAACAAGCATACCCCTCGCTGCAAGACTTGGGGGTGATTCTATCTCACTTGTACAGATACGTAGATTTTGTCTGACAGAACGACAACAACCCTGGTAGCCCATACTCAACACCTAATCCACTCTGCTTATGGCCTCCAAACGGCACATAAGGATCCGGCTGAGGCGGGCCGTTGATGTAGACATTACCGGCTTCTAACTTAGCGGCTACACGTCTAGCCGCTGAAACATCACTACTCCACACACTTGCGGCTAGCCCAGTGTCGCTATTATTGGCCAAAGATATGGCTTCATCGAGGGATGAAAACTTGATGCATGATACGATGGGGCCTATGGGAGCGTGTAAGTTGATGCAAAAATGACTCGAATTATCACATCTGGCCACGTACCAAAGTTTTCCTGTTGCACGACATCTGCATCCGGGGGCGGGTTCTTGAGAATAGTGGGCTGAATGAAGAATCCTTCGGCAGCCTCCGTCTTACCCAGCGATAGCAGCTCATAGCCCGTAGCATTTGCGTCTGAGAGGGCTCGTTTGAGCCTAACGAGCTGCATCTCATTCTGGATCGGTTCCATGCCAGAAGCTAGATCCTTTGAGGCTTCTGCGAGCTGAGCCACGGCTTCATCAAAGATGTCTTGGTGGATATACATGCGGCGTGTGGCAATGCATACTTGACCAGCGTTAAACCATAGACCTCCTGCTAATTGGGGAATAACAGCTTTAATGTTGACATCTGGCAAGATAATGGAGGCATTATTGCCAGCACTGTTTCACCAAGTTAGCAGTAAACGTTGCCAATCAGATACACTTACGTTTCGAGAGTTACTCTCTTCATTGTCTCAGCTGCATCTCTGAGGATCTGTTTCCCAGTAGTAGTAGACCCCGTAAAAGTGATCTTCTGGATTCGAGGATGCTTGACCAGCATGGGACCCAAATCATCGTGACCATGAAGTACCTGAAGAACTGACGGAGGAAACACTTGCTGAGCTAGTTCTACAAGCTTCAAACTCGAATATGGAGTGAAGGGGCTATATCAAGTCAGCGAAAGATAAGGAGAATAGTAGATCTGCTAGTTGGCGCACGATGGTTTAAGGATGACACAGTTTCCCGTAGCCAAAGCAGGTGCAATCTTTCCCAAAGCTTCTAGACATTAGCTTGATGCTGCTTGAGAAGAGTATTGGGATTACCGAGCATCAAGGGAACTGCCAAGCGTTAGCAAGTATTCCGACATTCTCCAGGGAGACACGTACAGTTCCAAGGGCAGATGGCAGCAACAACTCCGAAAGGCTCATGAGTAACAATTGATGTTTTCTTGTCGTCCTCCGTAACTTCTTCGGGAACTTCATACTTTGCTGTCCTAGTTAGCATCGCATGTGCCTACTGAGAAGGTCTGTTGAAACAAACAGGGATATCGTAGCCATTGCGCAGCGAAATACACTTCTATTGCTGCATTCCCAGCCTGGTGAGCTTCTGCATTAGCGTGCAACTGTCCTATGAGGTGAAAATATGCATCTCACTGTTCTTCCGCACTCAGTCGCGATCAATTGGCAAAATTCGTTAGCATGGACAAGGTAGAGATCAGCGAAGTTCTCCAGTAGCTCCGTGCGCTGCTTGTAGGTCTTTTCAGACCACGCGGGAAATGCTTCTTGTGCAGAGCGAACAGCTTCTTCAACGTCATTTCCGGTAGCGACAGGGGCGGGCCATAGAGAGGAACGATCCAGCGGATTTACGCCCGAGGTGGTTTCTCTAGCACTGCGAGGCTGGCCAGCAATGATGTTATAGAACGTATCGAAATTCATGATCAAAGACGTTTGCAAAAGGACTAGGTGTTCTGTTGAGTGGGAGATTGAGATCAAGGGGACACTGGGAATTTATAGCGCGACGGGCCTGTAGCGGAGCATGTTCAGCGCTTCGAACCACTGAAGAGCTCCTAACATGACGCCAGTTTTAGCGGTGCAGTGCCCTGTCATCGCGCAGGACTCAGGCGTGGGTTACGCAACTGTAAACAAAACTTCACCAACAACGCAAGGCAATAATGAGATCAAATATAGTAGATAAACATATTCAGAATTCAGAGAAATAGGTAATTGACTCAAATTATGGCATATAAATACAAAACTCAAAGTTATGGCCCTTTCGTACGAATTTCCTTCAGGGTCTTCAGCGTGCTCAGTCCCTCACAACGCCCTCCTCACTCGACATGTTATTCGAGTTGGGCTTCTCCTCCTTTAACCCAAACTCAGTATTGAGTTCATCACGCAATGTCAATGAGCGAACAAAGAAACAAAGAATAAAACCCAGAAGACAAAATGCAAGAGACACCTGCCAAACAACCTTAAGTCCCTCTAGATACACCTGAATAACTTGGGCCTTGAGCTCCGGATTGGGAGAGAGACTCTTGATGAAGTGCTGGGTCGCATGCTCGTATGCCCCTCCATCAACGAGAAGACTTTTGACTGTCGAGTCTGAGATCTTCGGAGCCGCATGATTGACATGATTATTGAAGACAGCAGCTGGGATAGCAACACCCCAGATCGATCCGAAGTTGCGGATGAATGTCCACGCACCAGTTGCAGTGGCGACGTCGGAATCAGGAAGACTGGCGAGGATGGGAGGCAGTGTCGAAGTAAACACTGTTCCAGTGCCGACACCAAACAAGATCTGGAAGCCGACCCAGCGCCCAGTTGAGGATTGGGCATCAAGCAAGGTAAAAAGGCTACAGGCAATTGACATGAGCACGAATCCGGTGAAGTGCCAAACACGATACTTTCCCGTCTTGGTGATGGTGATGCCAGCAACTACGCCAGCGGGAGCGCTTGTACAGGCAATGGGGAAGAGCATGACTGCTGAGCGTGTAGGGCTGGCCTCCTTGACAGCCTGGAAGTAAACTGGAAGAAAGTAGCAAATCCAGTACAGCAACAGGCTATGGATGAAGCTGATGACGAGCAATGTGGACGATGTCCGGTTGCTGAACAGTCTGAGAGGCATGGTGGGTTCTCTGAGCCACGGAGCGGCTTGGTACGCAAAGAAAGCAACCAGGGCAAGCAGGCCGATGACGAGAGGAACAATTGTTTGCCAGCCCGACCATGGATGTTCAGAGCCACCCCAGCTCAGTGCCAGAACGATGGATGTGACAGAGCCGATGAGAAGAACGCTGCCGCCCCAATCGATCCTGCTCATCTGCTCCTTGACGGTACCAGACGGTGGGCGAGACAGCTTGAGGAACAAGCCCAAAGCGACCAGAGAAACACCGGCGATTGGGAGATTGATGTAGAAGATCCATCGCCACGATATGTTCTGGGCAAAAGCACCTCCCATGATGGGCGCAACCACGGCGGCAATAGCCCAGACACCGCCAATGATGCCAGCGTACATGCCTCGTTCTCGAATGGAGACCATATCACAGACGACAATCTCACTCATGGTGAGAATGCCTCCTCCACCTATGCCTTGCACAGCGCGTCCACCAACCATCATGGCCGTGTTATGTGCGCCGCCACATAGTCCGCTACCGAGCGTGAAGATGCAAACAGCGATGAGGGTTAGACTGCGACGGCCATAAATGTTGGCGGCTTGAGCAAAGATGGGGATGGTGGCTGTTGAAGCCAGAAGATATGCATCGATGATCCATACGTAAAGAGACTCCGACCCAAGGTCAGCAGTGATAGTGGGTAGCGCTGTTGAGATGATGGAGGTGTCGAGGGCAGCGAGGAAAGTTGTCAAGGAAATAGCCACGAAGATAAGCCAGAATCGGGCACCTTTCTTGCTTGGTTCAGGCTGAGGATCAGAGGAGAGCGACTTTTCTGGTGCCGGCTGTGCATCTTTGACGGAGGCCATTTTGTCGGGCTGAGCCATTATCAGGGACTCATGAAACACGCAACAAACAAACAGCAATTCTGCTACGTAAAAGAGTAATTGGTTAGGGGAGAAAAGACAAATAGTGTTATAACTGATGCTGTTCTTTTTCCACTTGCGAATATTTGAAGACAGTAATAGCAGCTAACATCGTCCCAAGCACCGCCCGGGCCTGCCAAAAGATGGCACATTCATCGCGAAATCCTCCGTCGGACGGTTCCAGTGCAGTTTCCTGTACTCACTACGGTTTCTTCATTCACAGAGCCACAAAAGCAAACGCGCACACGGAAGCTTGCGTGTAACACCACAGCTGTACAGGATTCTCACCCATGTTTCTCACCTGCGTCTTTCAGGTCTGTAGGATTCAACTAGTAGCATGCGAGAGCAATCCTTTGTATTACGAAGCTCAGCGAGAGAATGATCAGGCGAGATGGCGAGGACTCCCGACATCTTGCCATGTCCAGGGTATGTAAAGCCTCCGATCTGACAGGCCGGCAATTTTAGACCTATCGAAATTACCGATCGTGCATGGATACGAATTTCCTAGAATGGTATGTTCTGGGTCTAATGCAACCTTAAATTCTCACGCTAGAGACTGCACTGCCCAACAACAGTACAGCCTCCAGTGATGCTTTGCATCGTAGCGCTTGTGATGTTCTTAACGACATGATTTAAATATAGAAGTTTATTACTTGAGCTGATTCTGATCTAGATTACTGTGGTAAGAACTGTATTAGCTGTTGATATAATTTCTCTGTGGTATATTTATTATAGAATTATTTATATCTTAATAATCGTTAAATAAGAACTTAACCAAGATTTAAATATTATAGCTATATATATAGTTAAAGGTAATTGTTCATTGGAATTTACCTATGAAATTACTTAACCTAAAGATTAAGTCCAGTTTTTGTATTAATGCTTTTGGGGCCTTTGTGTTATATGACGGAAGTCATGGAATAATATCATAACTCCAAGCGGAGACAATCATTCATTAGAACGTGACTTATTGACAAAGTATGAGTATATACTGCTATGGCTATGACTTATTCTTTATTCTAAAATGTCCAATCTGTATGGTGTACTGAATCTCAACTCTCGAGCGCTAAAGATCGGCAATCTGGAACCTTCTTTCTCCAGATGTTTGAAACCTTCTTCCTTTGTGATGTTCTGTATGTCATTGAAATTACATCGGCAATCTGTTGAGTGACATCTGGGTTGGTAGGCATGTGATGGCCCCCATTGAACTTGATAACTCTCCTAACACTCTGTTGCGTACAATGCTCTAACAGCACTTCACCTTCGCGAAGATAGGGATCTGTGAGTCCCAATATGTGTACGGTTGGTAGGCTGATATCAGGGGCATCAGGAATGAAGGGAGGAAACGTGCCACAGAAGAAGACACCAAACAGAGCGTCATGAGTAAAAGCCTCGCGCTGTTGTTCAAGCAAGATGCTTGCTGTGGCACGGGCTCCTTGTGAAAATCCAAGGATCCCAGCGAAGGGGCCGTATTGAAGCATGAAGGTCTTTATGTATGCAGTTGCATTGGTTTCTTCTTTCCTCTTCTCCTCTGGTAATAATGACTTGTCATCGCTGACCCAGCAGGAGTATGGACCAAAGTCCTCAAAGAAGGGGAGAACGCCAGGTCCCGGGGCGCTGTCTAGAGGGCCTTCCAGGAAGACAAGCTGGAACGTTTTGCGTAGGGCGGACTCTAGCTTGGAGAATTGTATACGCATGATCTGTGAAGAAGCACCGCCTCCATGAAGACAAAGTAGTCTTGGATGATGAACCATATTGCCGAGGGAGTGGTATTAAATGATGAGAGGAAAGGCTAAGGAATTTGCGGTGATACTTGAGAGAGTACTGAGATGAAGTTGAATCTGCATCGGGGAATATGAAGTCTGAGTCCCCGTTCCATCTGCCTAAATGTTAGGTCGTAGCTCGACCAAGCTGACTGCTTAGCAAATTCCAAGCCACAGGGCCTGATATAACCCAGTATTGCAAATTCGGAAATAAGTTTCAGAACCATCGTTTCAGAATAATCCTAAATCGAACCATGTCCATCAAACTCAATCTTCGGATGGCAGTTCCTAAGCCACCCTGGCCCATTGTCCCACTAGACCAGGTTCTGGTGCTTGTCCTCCTTTTTGCACCCCCCTCCCTCGGGTACTACCGTTTCTTGTTGGTTCATTGACTCAGTTGTAAGTTTGCTAGCGGGGCGGAAGGATCCGATGAGTGCCCATCTTGGCGAAACTAAGTAAGGCTGTGGCACAGACCCCAATAAGCCGCATCTCAGCCCATATTAGTAGTCTCGAAATGGGGACTTGAGCTGTATGGATCTCAATGAGATTCGGTAGTAGCCACGCCATAGGCGCTATTGTGTTTTGCTAATTTCGTCGCTGTGCCTCAAATTTCAAAAGTGATTCCTTCGTGTCCAGAGATGCCGCTTACAAGACGTGATAAAACGAGGATCATTTCCCTGTATGTTCTCTGCAGAATATAATCAGTCATATCATACAGACTTTCTCGGCATCTGAACTTTATTTACGACATTTGTTTCTGTTTCGAAACTATCTGCAATAATGCTTGCCATTGCAACTTTGCACGTTGCACTGCAGGTGTTCGGAGCTTTCAGCCCGAGTCATGCAGCCGCTGTCACTTTGGAACACCGTTCGGCTGGTAACAGTAACATTGCAGCAATCCCAGCCAAATGGGACGTCTACGGGTATCTCTTCAATGTTACAGTCGGTTCTCCACCACAAAACATTACCATGCTCAGCGACATGACGTGGATGGCTCCTTTTGTCCGATCGGGACGTTGTTTGTCACAATTCAATCCCGAGCTCTGCGTTGCTCAAGGCCAATCGTTCTTCAACGAACATGACTCAACGACCTTCGCAAATACTACCTTTGCACAAGCAACGTGGCCTGTCACTGCATTCGCGCCAAACTTTACCGTTGACTATGGAAGAGACAAGTTTTGCATTGGAGAAATCTGCAACAAAGACACTCTAATGCAGGTTTCCGACTTCCCCTACCCTGGCAGCGTTGTTCCTGTTATTCCCTTTGGAGGAATCTTTGGCCTAGCCCCCACACCAAAGGTCATCACTGCGACGTCAGAACCCGTCAACTTTCAAGCGTGGAAGAACGGCAAGATGGGACCTCTTGTTGGTTGGCATACGTGCGAGGTGCTCAAGTCAGCGGCAACCTGTCAGGGGGGCGATGCACAGCTAGTGTTTGGCGGTACGGATACTACAATGTACAGCGCCAAAGAACTCCAATCGTACGAGATACAGAACCCCGAATGGCTCAGTGATGCCTTTTACCCATCAACGCCACCTCGCAGCAACTATTGGAGTACGTCCTTGACAGGAATGTGGGTCAAGACTGATAAGCTGTCCAAGAACTATGCTGTTACATTCAAGGCTGTCAAGACTGCTAAGAGGACACCCCCACTAGCTGTCGTGGACGAAGGATCTGAGGGACTAGGGGCACCCCTGTCTCTGAACGGGTACAAGTACCTGGTCCGACACATCAAAAGTGCCAAACTTGCATCTAAGGCAATCATCCAGAACATTCAACAGCAGGGATCATCGGGCTACAACACGGCAAACCAGGATTGGTACACGGTTGCTTGTGATGATTTAGACGAATATCCCAATCTGGTATATCAACTCGACGGCCGGAAGAAGTACACGATTTCTGCAGCTGATTATGTAACCAAGCTGACAGACATACCTGGGTCTGTTTGCTATCTCAATGTCAATGTTTGGAAATATGGGCGCACGGAGAATGGAGACGCAAAGGTTGTCCTTCTAGGTAAGGCATTCCTCAAGAGGAAGTATCTTGTTCTCAACTTTGAAGAACGCTCGTTTGGCCTTGCACCTCTTCTTACGGGATGAAGTTCTTCATTATCGTGTTTTATCTAGTGCCTTGATTATTATCATTGTACATTATACCTGACTAGATATTGTTTCTGTTTTGAGTTATTTATATATATGTCTTAATATTCTAAGTAATGTTTCTCCAAACTTCAGTGGCATTCGCTTACACGCTTACTGGAATGCATCACAACGCAAGGCAGGACTATTCTTGGCATGTCTCTCAAAACTGAAGATATTCCTACACCAACATGCCGGATTGGCATCACTTAGCCCCAAGACGTCTCTTCTCGATAAAGTTAGGCTTCCCAAAAACCTCCTCAACTTCCTCGTTTTGAACAACCTTCAAGTACCAAGCGACAACATTAGGGTACTGCTGCCTCATGGGCTCATCAACTATGTGCATGAAAGCCCACAAGAGAGTAGAAGCACCAGTGAGATCAGCAAGCGTCAGTTTATCTCCAACAAGCAAGGTACCAGTGTTCAGGTGCTTCTCCAGTACCGATAAATCATATACCAGCTGGGCCAGTGCCTTTGTCTCGGTAGTTTCATCAAATGCACCCAACCCTACTCGCCACATAACAAGGTTAAGGACAGTAGGGTAGATCTCTTCAGCAAAGAAAGAAATCCATTGTCTGATCTTGGCGGAACTCATAGCGTCCTGGCCAAGCAGCTGACTTGCTTGAGGGCCTGACTGGGCGACATACTGGGCGATGGCGTCAGATTCCACGAGACAGAAGCCGTCAGGGCCCTCAAATGCTGGGACTTTTCCAGCTGGGAATTTCAAGAGAAACTCTGCTGACTTGTTGGTCACCCCGTGTTGATAAGCAGGAATCTCAAGGGTGATATTGTTGAGTTTTGCTGCAGCGAGGATCTGAGCAAAGAGTCAGTAGGCTAGACGAAAATGCAAAGTAGGTAATGCAAAAGACATGTTTACCTTGAAAACCCTCGCATTAGGCATATACGTGTAGAGAGTTCCAAACGAAGTCATTTTGTCCATCAATTTGATGTTCACGTTGTTGTTTCCTGAAGTCTATTGAGAACGGGGAACTACATAAGGACGGCTAATAAGCATCCTCTTGCAAATCCAATGATCGATCTTGAGAATCATCGGCAAACCTTGATCGTTCGGCTCCGATATTGCACTATTTGGCGAAGTCCGCTGCCGAAGGATTTTGATGGGCTGATATCGGCAATTACAGAAAGATATGGCCTCATCACATCAGAAAAAGAACGCAACCTTGATTCAGGAGTCATTTTGACGCGTTTACGGAGTACAGATGCCGATTCATCATCCACAATGCGTGCATATGCGTGCATTAGACGATCTCCCCGAATCCTGGACCCATCCTTGTTTTTCGCGTTTCTCGGCTAGTGCTTACTTGATGCATGCGCACAGACGACGGTGGGGCTTAGCTGGTACATGTAACTAATATTGGGCTGGATGCAAGAGTGTTGCAATATGTTAGTGGAGCTGATGAGCGGAAGCCCGCCATATCTCCCACTCCGTCAGTTGCCATTTGCTTTAGAGCTGCTGATTTCAGTAAGAAGTTTCGATGCTGACTTGCATTATCGGAACACCGATCCGACACTCCCCTCCGGTCGATTCCGGTTTTGGTGAGACAGTCTCGCTTCAGGTTGTTCATCACTCCATACTCGTTGATTTCCACTCCCTTGTCGGTATGCAATATACTGAATGTTAAAGCGTAAGTTACAAAGCCCTTAGGTACGTACACAGCGAAGAGTTTCTTGTTTGGACCAAACTTAGTTTACGAAAGATGGGCACACGTAAGCTACAATACATCCCGCTTGATGGCAAAAGTACTATCCAACCACGTAAACATCTTATGGTGAACAACCGCTAGAGCTCCGATCTTGGCTTGCAACCCTCCACCTTCAACCCCCTTACCAATCCACAAATGCTTGTCATTGGGTCCCAAAGCCGTCAGCCCCTCGAATATGATGTTGGCGTTGATATCAGGCGTGAAGTAGAACGAATCCGCAGCGCCAGTTATTAACGTGGGGCACTTGATCTTGTCCAGGTATCCGCCTTTGAGCGAGATCTTCTGCATGACGCGTAGCACATCTGCCGGCGTTTCGACCCCAAAAACCCATTTGCCGTGCCCAAACTCCCATGCAATCTGAAAGTTCACGGCAGTGAGGCCATCTACCACCCAGTTGAAGACCCCATCGCTTACCCAGCCGGAGAGCCAACCATTGATGAACCAGGGTGGCATGCGGCTACGGGTTATCTCGAATAGATCCAGAGGCCCGTCACAAGAGACGCACGCTTTGATTCGGGGATCGACTGCCGCACGTAGTGACAGGTAGCCGCCGAGGGAAGCCCCAAAGATGGCTAGCCGTTCAAGATCAAGATCATACTCTGGAGCTACGCCATCTGTGACAAAATCCAGGACTTGGCTGACGACGTACTCCCAGTCTGTACGGAGTTTCAGTTTCCCAACACGTAAGGGAAGGCCTTGACCAGGTCCATCAAAACTGAAGACGGCATATCCTCGGGGAAGAGCACCAGCAGCACCATAGAAGTAGAGCTCTTCCTGAGTAGAGTCAAAGCCTCCAGTCTGAAGCACGACAGGAATCTTGCCAGGCAGCCTGTGGTGCGGAGCAGGAAGATAGAGTCTGCCCGGCAGTTTGATATCCTTCTCGTAAGGAATCTCGAAGTTCTTGACAGTGGCATCTAGGAGAACCCAGCCTTTGTCGAAGGCGTTCACGCTGGCCTTTGAAGAAGCCAATATGCGCGGATCCTCGGGTTTGCAGTGCAGCAGAAACTCGCTGGCCCGCCAATAATTGGCAGCACGGATATAAGCCCAGCAAGCGCCCGTCTTATCACCGACAGCAGCAGCTTCTTCTGCTAGAGCTTGTGCCTTTTCTGCCTGGCCACGCCAGGCGCGATACCAACTCTCAGGATCACCATCTTTGATGCGTCCCGCGGTAGTCAAGCACTCGCCAACCTCTGCTCCCTGGAAGGGAACAGTGCCAAGGAGACGAAGGAATTCGAAGTTGAAGAAATCTGAGGCAAAGACTTTGTGCATGATGGGTAATTGGAACTTGACTCAGAGGAAAAGAGAGGCAAAACCTCTAGGGGCATCGACATGTATGCCTCAAGCATGGACGACATGGACGTTGATAAGGCTGTGTAGACGTACCTAGCTCACGCTAGCTTCCAGTAGCGCATGGGAGGCTAGTTTTCATGTAATTGCTAAACGAATTTCCTTTTTGACAGAGCAAAGTAAAAGCAAATGCCACCCCCTGCTTGACATGGCGTAACTTCGTAAGCCTCAAAGGAAGTTAGGCTAAGCCAAGCGGTTAGCGGCGCCATCCGGGAGATCCCGTGTCGTTCGGTTCGGACGTTTTTTCAAGCAACCCCATGTACCTCCACGTTTTACTTGACCAGTGACATGTCATGCCAGACTTCATGGGTGTGTGGTCAAATGAGGCCACGCACGGGTAAGCCCGGCGCGTTCCCAGAAAGCCTCTATACGCTATACGCCCCAGGTCAGATCTCATCTAAGACTCCAAGTAGATGGGATTCAAACCCTGAATCACAGTGGATATGAAGATGAGGTGACAGACACTTGCCTACATGATGAAAATGCCTCATGGTGGGATAGGAGTACGACCTCAATCGATGGTACTTGGAGGGTTGGAGCTGAGACCTCCGGCAGTTTGCGGCCGCAACTCGCTCCTATACACCCCTTAATCAGCCCAGGCACAGAGTTCATTCACCCGTTCTAATCCTTCAAAGGATGAGTTCATGGGGGCCATGTCTATGTCCATTTTAGGCAATTCCAAAAGGTGTTTTCCAAGATACGTAGCACAATGCACTGCTATGGATGTGCACGTTAGTGACATGGCACTGGCACTTATACCGACAAATCCAAAATCAATGGCTGTGATATCCTGAGCAGTATCGCACCAGCCACTTCCTTCTTCATCATTCACTACAAACAGATTCAACACAAATTCGGCCACTTATTTCAATCATGGCTGACAATCAATCCCTCCCCAAAGAGCCCATAGCCATCATTGGCACCTCTTGCCGTTTTCCTGGCGGCGCCAACACCCCCTCCAAGCTCTGGGACCTCATTTGTGAGAAGCGAGACGTTCAGTCCCGTATTCCCAATGACAGGTTTAATGTAGATGCCTTTTACAGCACCAATGGTGATAAGAATGGCTGCACCGATGTCAAGAACGCATATGTCTTGTCTGAGGATATTCGAGTGTTTGATGCCTCATTTTTCAAGATTAATCCCCGTGAGGCTGAGGCCATGGATCCCCAACAACGGCTCTTGCTTGAAGCTGTTTACGAGGCCACCGAGGCAGCTGGTCTGCCTATGGAAGACCTCAAGGGATCTGACACTGCTGTATACGTTGGATGCATGACGGGTGATTACCATGAAATGCTCATGCGTGATCCCCAAGATATGCCCAAGTATATGGCTACCGGTACTGCTCGCAGTATTCTCTCCAACCGAATCTCTTATCTGTTTGACTGGAGGGGGCCTTCTATGACCATCGATACGGCATGCTCCTCCAGTCTTGTTGCAGTCTACGATGCTGCTACAGCCCTGCGCAACGGTGTCTCCAAGATTGCCTGCGCTGGAGGTGCCAATCTTATCCTGGGTCCAGAAATGATGATTTCTGAGTCCAAGCTGCACATGCTGTCCCCAACTGGACGTAGTAGAATGTGGGATGCCTCTGCCAACGGATACGCGAGAGGCGAGGGCGTAGCAGCCATTATGATGAAAACCCTATCTCAAGCGTTGGCAGATGGAGACCATATTCAAGGCGTCATTAGGGAGATTGGGGTCAATTCTGACGGGCGTAAGTTGAGACATTGTCACAAATAAGATATTCACTTCTCTAACCACTTACAGGAACTAACGGCATCACATTACCAAGTCCAGAGGCACAGAAAGTCCTAATTCGGCAGACTTACAAGAAAGCCGGCCTTGATTTCTTTAAAGACCGTTGTCAATTCTTCGAGGCCCATGGGACAGGCACTCCTGCTGGTGATCCTCTTGAGGCCCGTGCTATTCATGAAGCCTTCTTCACTGATGGGGATATCGTCCCCGAGCCTATGTATGTAGGCTCAGTTAAGACAGCTATCGGCCATCTCGAAGGATGTGCTGGTCTTGCCGGTCTCATAAAGGCTCTCGAGGCTGTCAAAAGAGGAATTATTCCTCCCAACCAGCTCTTCGAGAATCTAAACCCTGCCCTCAAGCCTTACGTCTCCAACTTAAGGCTCCCCACTGAGTCTAAGCCATGGCCTAAGCTGGCTCCCGGATCTCCCAGACGTGCAAGTGTCAACTCCTTTGGTTTCGGTGGAACCAATGTCCACGCCATTATTGAGCAATTTGACAACGTTCACACGCAAACCAGTTCGTCTGAGGGCATTATCTCGACCCCGCTTGTACTCTCTGCCAACTCAGATCTATCATTACGCAAGCAAATTGCACACTTTGCAGAGGCAATTGAACATAATGACCAAGGGAAGATCGATAGGATCATCTTCACTCTGGCACAGAGACGATCTCAACTTCCCCTTCGGACCTACTTCTCTGGCTACGACCTGCAGAGTCTTCAGCAGAAGTTGAGAGACGCCACAGCTGAGAATGCTGTGCTGCCTTTCATCAGCCAGACTGTCCCACCAGGCCAGCCTCCTCGCATCTTAGGTGTTTTCACTGGCCAAGGCGCGCAATGGCCTACCATGGGACGAGAGATCCTCAAGGCCTCTCCCTTTGCTCGCGCCGTGATGGCGTCTTTGGAAGAGTCATTGGCGAGCTTAGTAGAGCCTCCTGCCTGGACGCTCACTGAGCAAATCATGGCCGACAAGGATTCCTCTCGTCTTAGCGAAGCAGCTATTTCACAACCACTCTGCACTGCAGTCCAGATAATGGTAGTTGAGTTGCTACGTAAGGCTGGTATAACATTCAATTG